TGCACGAGCACAGGCTGGGTGTCTGCCGCTGTGTGTTCAGAGACATTCAGTACAGCATGTCATTCCCCAAGCTCAAAATCAAACTGTGGCATCAAACAAACGCCACCCCATCACCAGCGCTGAAAGATAATCCCTCTTATATGCAGTGTGGGAGTAGCAGCAGGAGCGAGCGAGCGCCATTCCAAAACCCATGCACGTCCTCAAATGCAGCACAAATTGAGTGAGCGAGCCCGTCGGCGCGATGAAGCGGACAGTATTCACCCGTTCATAAAGGCTAAGCTGACACCTTCTTCAACACTGACGCTCTGTCGGGGCACACATTGCCGTCTGGGGCATTTGAACGCAACATGTTAAGCTAACGTCTCAGTTAGTAGTTGTCCTCGCGCTCCAGCGGCGCTCCAACTCCTGACTTTCATCCTGCTCTCGCCCACCGAGCAGCCTCCCCTCTCGCATTATCTCACATTACACACCGTTAGCAGCTTCTTACCTCATGGCCAAAGTGTTGTCAGGGCCGAATGTATCACTAACTCCTTTGGGTATCGACGAACGACGGGTGACTTGTAGTTTTCACAAAAGTTCACCGCTCGGTTCAAGGCTACAGGCGACCAAGATGAATGGGACTCCCGGGGCGGCGTGACGAGAGGCTTCACAGTTTGCAGGCTATCCGGTAAAAAGTACCAAAAGAAAAAAAGAAAATTGGGATTTAAAAAAAAAAAAAGAAACAGTCGAATCCTACATGATCTAGAGCATCGCGGCTCCGCTGGTGGCGATGAGTCGCTGGTAAGAAAGTGGATGACGGTGGCGGTTCTCCGGTTCTTTTTTTGACGCACTTGGGTCGGTGTGATGCGGCGCTGTGCCGCTCGGGTACCGGTCTGCCGCCGCTGCCTGCTGGCTGCAACACGTGCTGCGTTCACGGCCGCACTATAAGCTCCTACTTTGAAGTTCCCCCGGTCGCACAACTAAAAAAACTACCTCTCATTTACTAAAACTAAACCTTTTATTAAAGGAGGCATGTTGGAGAAAAATAACACGTTAGGCCTAAACGTTAGACTGTGGGATGTTTTGTGCAAAAAAAAAAAAGTCTGAGGGAATCCTGGTTGCATATACATAACAAAGTTAACAAAATGACTGCTGGGCAAGATTATTATTATTTGAACATCATGATTTATTAGTATCGTTTACCAAATGGCCTCCTTAGCTCGAGAGACGTGAATAAATGTACAGTCAAACACTGTTTTTCTGTTTTAGTTCATAGGTGATAACGTTAACACAATGCCCAAAGTATTCAATGTGAGGGTGAGACAGAGGGAGGGTTATGCTTATACACTTCTGCCTGAAATTCACATCTAAATGTTTTGGCTTATATATAAAAAAAAATGTAATAAAATAAACTTTTGTTGCGTCTTTCATGTGCGCGCTGTATTTGTCAGCCTTTGTTTTTTCCCACGGCACGCGAAAGCAGCAGTTGACGCAACTTGTGGGACGTAACACGTACAGGTTGCCCCTGACAACTGAGTTGGCTCTCTTGCGGTGTGTTTCTGTCTGTGATGTGGAGCTGGGACCAAAGTAGACCGAAAATATTACAAAATAAAAATTGGCTGTTTCTGTTTTGCGTTTTAAAAATAACTACAGTAGTCCCAGAATACATTTAAACCAGGCTGCACAAATACAAGAGCAAAACATGGATCGACTGCATACTGGTGACTGTATGCTAATATGTGAGGACACTTTATGGCCTTCATCCGCATCTCATAAAAGTCAAGAATATGGCTTCTGGTCTTCAGTATTTGTTGTTTCCCCTCTGTCTTAATGACGCTCTACAAAGACACCTTCAACCACAGAGAGGGAGAGAATCTGAAGTTTAATGGACCTGAATGAGCAAATACCAATTCTGCATTTTAAAATAAATGTGCCTGACCTATGTCAAACTGTTCATTTGCATTCCTTGCTGAGGTTTAAATCCAACTGCATCGACTTTATCCACAGCGTGACATTTTCTCACAGGGTTTTTCAGTAATTAATTAAAAGGCCAGAGCTCAAGACCTTGAGGATGTGATTCCTGCCAAATAAAATCTGCAAAACTGTGCATTGCTGCCACGATTGCCAATGACAGGAGGATTTAAGAGGGCCACAGTTCACAGGAAAAATACACTGTAAAACCAGATAAGTTCATTTAACTTATTGAACATGTAAAGAAAAACTAACTCAAAACTTAACTTCTATGTTTAAAAAAATCCTTTTTGTTCAAGAAGCTTTAAACGTACAAAACTGAGCTGACTTAAAAAAATGTATGTAATCCATTTCAACATTTTTCTTTAGTTAGAATAACTTATTGCATTACAGTGTTCTGAATTCATGTGACAACTTTGCATCTCTGCCAAGTTATATTCACAAGGATTGAGAAAAACACACCGTAGGCCCTACACCTGCAATGTGGTTATGGGAAATAGCATCCTGCCTTGCTTTGGAGAAACCAATGTGGCCAGAGGGAAATCAAATAAGTAAAAAAATGGAACACTTTGATGCAATTCTTTGAAAGTGATCAGACCTGAATTTAATGACTGAAATTGATAAATTAAAAACAACAGCACCTACACAAATACTGTACCTCTTCTAAATATGTTTTTTCCCTGAATGTTCAATGTAGATGGCGGGGTGAGGATATGTTATTGTATGTGAGACTCTGTTCTTTCCACGCCAATAACCAATAAATCTGAAAAGAAAAAAAAGAAAAACCACCTTATCACCAGGTGGCCCCCTGACACCGGCTTTGTGACTCACTGCTGTGTGGACGTGTGTTTGAGGATAAGATGTGGAGTCAGTGTCATCCTTCAGGGCTGAATGTGTATCTCAGCGAGAACACAAAATTGTCTGGTGTTGAGCCGCCGGCATGTGTCTCTGTTTAAAGTGTGTGCCAGTGTGTGCGTGCAGTACATTGCTGCGTGCATGCCTAGTTTGTGTGTGTATGCCATGTGTCCATCATGTAATATTATACATCCCCATTACTATAATGGCACAGCAGCAAGTGAAGCCAGTACTATAAGCCACTTATCCACTGAGGGGCCAAAAGAGGCTTACAGGAGTCAAGACCAGCTCAAACTGTTTATAGCCAAAAATTAAATGCACTGTTTCTTTATTTAGCTCAGGGGGGTATTATTCTCCACCCTTTGATTATATTATCTGAGTGTGATGCAAAAAACATCATAAGAATGTTGATTAGGACAATGACCCAAATAGTAAATAGTCCCTCTCTGGCATTGAAATTGAAAAGCAGCTGAAGAGGAAGCCCTGGCTGGAAATGAAGCCTCAGACTGTATCTGACTTGTAGACTGAGGAACACAGTGGACAATAAATTATAAAACCCATAAGCTGCTGTGGATACGCACTAACTATCACGTTTAGCTCGGCTAACCCCGCCGATTGTCTGATGTTCTAAAAGAGGATTAGGACGCAGTTTTTAAAAAAATAAAAAGGTAGAGGCAAAAGGTCAGAGTATGAGCTCTTCCGCCTTTATGTAATGCCACTGCACTTTGATAGAAAGGTTGTCCACTGTGGAAAGGGCAAACTGATTTTACCAAAATAATACCAGGTTGCAGTTTTGCCTCAATGATGGTGTTTTAGGTTGTCAGGAAGACGGTGCTAAAAGATACAGTTAGTGTATTTAAAATGATACATGAAGGCCTGTCAGCACCGCCTCCCGGTACCGTTGGTAATACTAATGACATGTCACTGTATTTTCCTTTTATAATGTGTATTTGTACATGCGTATGCATGAGTGTGGGGAGTAGCTCTAACACCGGCTCCTGTATTTTCATGTATTTTGATTCTAAAGTCTGAAATAGATGCAAGTCAGGCACTCGGGTGACTGAGCTTCAACTGACTCAGCTGATGATGAATGAGCCGTCAGTACACCACCCACACCCCACCAGCCCTGTTATTGTGACATGTAACACACTGAACCAGTAAATGTCATTAGAAATGAAGGAAATGAGGCTTACTGTCCTGCCACACTCGCTGTAAATACCAGCCATATGTTGATAGTTCAGTTTCTGAGATCAGCCAATAGCCTAAGCTGTAAAAATACCTGAACTTTGGCCGCCATCTGGTGTGCAAGCCTTGAAATACAGCTTATATCTTCTAAGCTGCCAGAGCGCTAAATGGTGGCTACACATACTTTAGTACAGAGCTTCTGTACAGTTTTGAGGTGCTTGTGCTTTATTTGAGCATTTCCATTTAATGATACTTTATACTCCACTACATTAGGGGGTGTGTGTTTTTACTCAAATGTTATTTTATATTAAAAAAAGATAAGATAAGATAAGATGTTCCTAAGATTAATATAATGAATATAAGGTTACTGAATACATTTTCTAATCAATAATTGTATCGGATAACACTTTTAAAATAACCTTCCCAACCCTGAAATTAGTTTAGTACTTTTACATTGTGTTATTGTCACCTGAGAGTGAGTTCTACACAACTAAACACCACACATCCAATTCTGGTCCATAAAAAGCTTTCTATAGAATATACCTTGGGACAAGAAGAAATTAAAAATAATAATTTACATAAAATGTATAATCAAACACTGCAGTGAATCTTCAAGCTATATGGATTATTCACATTATTTGGTGAAAAGCAGGGTTTTTTTAGTCACCTTTAAGTGCAACCACTAGAGGGCGGCATGGAGAATTCTCCTCGCATACAGCACAGGATCATTTCCGGTACTGTGACTAAGGATAGTTTCAAAACAAAAGTCAAGTGGGTGAATTTTCTAACAAGCAAGAAGCAGTAGTTGCTATGTATCACTTTGTTAACTGGTAATTGATTCAATCCAAAATCCACAAAATCATTGAATAAATTAACAAATTAAATGATACAATCAAAAGTAACTTAATAGCACGGACTTTATAATGATTTATGATATATGCTTTGCGTGCTTTTGTTTTGAAATAGCAACCCGGAAATGGTTTGTGCATCACGTTCTCTTAATTCTGATTGGCTGAGCTCACACTGCTGCTGATGTGGTGTTCCCAAGTTAGCAGAGCTGGTCCGCCGATACAAACAGACTCTTTGGTATAATAGTAAGTGTGCTTGGTAGAAATAATGCCTTATTATCAGACCTGGGAGGAGTTCGCCCGTGCAGCAGAAAAACTCTATCTGACAGACCCCATGAAGGTGAGAAGACGTTAGTTTTAACTGGGTTAGCGTGCTAGCTTCGTAGCTTGTTAGCGGGATAGCTCGTTAGCGACGTGACTGTACCAACTGCTGGTCTGAACCAGTCCTCCCAGTCCTCCCAGTTCACCCGCTGTTGTTGCTGTGTTTGCAGGTCAGAGTGGTTCTGAAGTACAGACACTGCGACGGCAACCTTTGCATCAAAGTGACCGACAACTCTGTGGTAAGTGACTCGAAGAAAGAAAGTTTGAAGTGAAGTGTTAGAAGGAATGATACGGAGTGTGGATGAACGTGAGTGGTGGTCGTGTTCACACCGGAGACCTTTTAAAAAGCGTTCTTTGTTTGATGTTCAAGAAAATCCTTTTCTTTGCTTTCAGTATTTGTAGTGTATCGGTTGGTATTCGCTTGGCTGGGAAATGTCAGCAAATGTGAACATATTTGAGGCTGGATGCTTTATATTTTACTTTGTAAGATACTCAACTGTAATCAGTAGTTTTCTGTTGATTGATTCAACAGCTGACGCTCATTATATCAGCACTACTCCTCACTACAGCTGCAACGATTAAAGCTGCAGGAGGTCAGTTTTAGAAAAATAACTTTGAGTCATATTCACTGAAACTTTCACTATATCCTGACAGTAGAACATGAGACAGGTCATCAGGTTCCTCTGGCTCCTCCTAGTGCTCCTAATGGCATTTACCAGAATCCCCCGGCCCCAAACAAAAACATCCAGTCGAGAAAGATGGAAAGACGTTTTGGGCTGGTGGCTTGAAGATAGCTGATTGTTGAGTCTTATTCTTAGTATCGATGTTTGAAGACCTGGGAATGAGACTCAACAATCAACTTTCTTTCTCTGCGCTGGTTGGTTGTTTTTGTTCGTCCTGGTGGATTCTTGGAAATGCCATCAGGAGCTCTAAAAGAAGCCAGAGGTCTCATGTGATACTATCAGGATGTAGTAATATGACAAAGTTGTTTTTTTTTTTTATAAAAGTTACCTATTGCAGCTTTATTCGCTTTGTTGTAAACTGTTAAATTAATTACCAACTATTTTGATAACCAATTAATTGTTGTGAGGTTATTTTTTTTTTTTTTAAAGCAAAAGGTCAAATTCTCTTATTTTAGCTTCTCAAATGTGAATATTTTGTGGTTTCGGTGACAGTAAACTATATTGAATGATAGGGGACTAAATCCATCCTCATTAGGGACGTGAACTTCTGTACCAGTCCCTTTTTTTTTATTAGATGTAGATTTTTTTTTTTTAAAAAATATTTTCCTCCTTTTTTTTTTTTTTTTTTTAAAAACAGAACAAACAATTACAGCACTGTATTAATCAACAGATATATTTGGTGTAGTTTTTTTTAACAGCAGACATTTTAATGTGACCTTGCAGCAAAAGCACACGGAGCTAATAACATTAATAATTGCATTGCTCCATTTATGATACAATTTATTGTTAAACCTTACTCATATATATATATATATATATATATATATATATATATATATATATATATATATATATATATACTGTACATTTGTCCCCATTCCCTAATTGTAATGTATACTGAAAACAGGTTCACTTTCAAAATCGGCTGCTTAAAATGGGGGAAGCAGAGAAATTAATACTATGGGGGGGTTTTTTTGTCCATCCCTGCAGTGTTTACAGTACAAGACAGACCAGGCCCAGGACGTGAAGAAGATCGAGAAGCTCCACGGGAAACTAATGAGACTCATGGTGTCCAAGGAGACGCACAGCGGTGCCATGGAGACGGACTAATATGCTCTAGAAGCACCTGGACTGAGTTCAGTGGACAGACACAGTAGTTGATGAGAGCAGAGTACCATCAGAGTGCGATGTGGTGGATGTGAAGAGGGAGTGTGGTGATGAGATTGATCTGGCTGCCTACACTGATTTAATACTGTCAGAGATGTGATTATACATACTGTATATATTTTATTATCTCAGGATTCAGTTTTTTATGATTCTTTCTTAGTCATTAAAAATCCCATTAACCGGCTTTTCCTTACCAGGCATTTTGATCACATCCCTGATGGTATTAATATACAGTAAGGTCACTATAGGCTGCTGGGAACTTTAGGGGATGTAGAGATGGAGAATGAGTGGGGTTGGGGGAATGTGGGACAAAACGTACAAATCCTCTGCTGCTGTGTAAGCAGCTTTGGCACCTTGATTCTTTTTAGGAGCCTGCATTTATTTTCAGTTTTAAAGGGGACATAAAGGACGGGCAATGAAGACGTTGCATGTCTTTTTCTATTTACATCATGTAGCTCTGTTGGATTCAATTTCAGCACAGCGATTTGTTTAATGTTGTCTGTCCTCATGGACTCGTGCCACATGAATGAAGCAGGACCTTCTGATTTCCAAACGACGGTGTGGAGGAACCCGCGATTTCTACCGAGAAACCCCCCACACGTGCAAATGCCATTTCATCGTCTGAGAATGATTACGTTACATGTTCAATAAATCTTTATTTACCCCAGCACAGCCACTATATTCTCCTGTATTCATCTTGTGTCTGTTGTATGCAATGTGTTGAGAACCATAAATGGCTGCAGGATTAAGGATGAGGATCTTCTGGTTATATGATAGTAACTTTAAAATGAAATCTTACAGGTTTTACTAAGATTTATACAGATGAGGATTAGGGCCACATGAAAAAAATATTGGAGTTTAAAAAGGTATTTTTTTCTTAAATTTCTTATTTTTTTATTTTTACTTAAAACTCAAAACCTTACTACATTTTCCCACATTTGGCTCTAATCATCTTCCGTAGTTTTCTTTGTGGTGTATTTTGAAGTAGGTGCCCTTGTGTAGAAGTTAAGTTCCTTCTCTATTTTGGGTGAATATTCCAATTAAACTGCTGTTTGGGTTCTCAGCAGCAGCCCAAACCAGACCATACCACCAAATCGACTAGTCCTCTTCAGTAGAATACTACATGTCCCATAATGCACTTCTACGTTCCCACATATTCAGTTCTTGCACGGGACAAATGTTTATCCTCGTCTTTTCCCGTCATGTACGGAGAACTACAGACAATACGCCATTACAATAATTGAGTTGGTCTTGTCCATCCAGCTAAAGGTGAACGTTTGATTTAATGAATAGTAGAGGGAGCCAGGATAGAGGGGAGGAGTCAAGGAAAAAAAAAAAGTTTACGCTGTGGCAAAGCGGAGCGGCACCGAGGACAGCGTCCGAGACCTATCCTCAACAGGTAACACAGCTAAAGCCGTGTGAGTACTGCTCAAATGTATTTGAATGTTCATTCATTTAGACGGCATACATATGAAATAGTGACGTTTAACCCACGTGCTTTAAATTGAATAAGTTAAAGTAGGAAGATGTGGTGTTCAGTTTAAATCTGCACAGCCCACTAGATTCAGCTTTAAGTGCGTTAACTTTTCAATTCAAATAGTGTAGATACAATTTGTACTCCGTCGACATCAATAATTCCGTACGTGGTTTGTTAGCTTATTCACTTTTCACTGTCTAGCTGTGGTATGACGTTAGCTAGCACATATAAAGTGAACTTTAATCACCTATAACGTTAATAATGTCTTGTTTTTGCTATTCCTGTGGCTTCGTTGCTGTAACTATTAATAATGTGAGTAGTGGGAGGGGGTCTGCTCCAGAAAACAGGCCTGTACCGGGGTGAGTCCAGCTGACAGGACTTTAAACTCTGTACATGGTGGTCTGTTAACGTCATGTCTACCCTCCATGAATACATTAGCATGCTAAGTGTCAGCCCACTCTTGTCCTTTAATCCATGCTGTTGAGCTGTGGTAGCTGTGGATACAGCTGTAAGCTGCTGGTCGGTAATAATCACATATAAACACAGTGTTAGGGTAAAGTACAGTGGTACAGTGGTACAGTGGGGGTGTGTGTCCATGCTTGCAGCTCTCCTGAATGCAGGCCTCTGGTCAGCCCTGTTCTTTACCTAATCCTGTCAGCTGGCCTCAAACACAACAGTGGCACTTTTGTTTGACTGCTGCCACATTGTTTTGCAGATAAAGTATTAACTGTTCAGTCAGGTTAGTGTCAAATGTTTTTGTTGTTTCCTACAATCTTGTTTTCCTAAATTTAGTGTTTGTAGTTTACTGTTCCACTCTTTGTTCTGTCTTATACAGTATTATAGTACTTATAGTATGTCTAATCATTCAGTCACGTATCATTATTTAACAATAGATGCTTCGCTGTCTCATTCATCCCTCTCCGTTGTATTTTCTATATATGTATTTGACTGGAATACATATGAGCCCCCACTAACAGTCGCCAAAGCTTCATGGGGGGTAGCAAGGCCTTCTAAACACAGTAGGCCTCTTTTTCAGCATCTGGTTCACTTAAAGTAAAGTAAATGTAAAGTGTCTAATAGAACAATGGCCAATTGTCAGGGACAATTGTTAAAACACTGAATTTGTCAAAACTGAAGCCTAGTAAGTATGTAAAATGATAATACATAACGCTGACAGAAAATGGCCTAAACAGGAAATAATCTGCTCAAAATTAATCCAACACAAACATCTTGCAGTTACTGAGTTCACTGTTTGGGTTCATTGTACAGTTTTGTATAAAATATGAATAAGCTATAGTTTTTGTGGCATTAAATACTGTTTGTAATTTAGGACAGTCATTTAGTGTTCAGTTAGTAAACTGAACACTAAATGAGGATTTTGTCACATCCAGTTTCAGTCATAATTAAATAATTCTTTATTCTTTTGTCTTACATCACATGTAATAAGCTGACTACAATTTTTATTAAAGGCAAAAATACACATTTGCTCATTCTTTAAAGGTGCAATTATGTTCTGTAATAGCACAAATATTTTCTGTGGTCAACTTTTTATTGAATTTGTCATATGAAAATCATTGTACACAAGACAGGGATTCTTGTACATACAAACAGCATTCAACACAAACTATACACATATCAGCATTGCATTGCAAAGAAGAAGAAAGAAAGATGAAGAGAAAGAAAGGGGGGGACATTAGATCATGTGTGTAGGTCTTACATGCTATAAAAGACACATTATTGTGAGAAAGTATGGGTTTGAAAGACAACCCATGAGGATATCCCAGGCTGCTCCAGTGGATGATCACACTTTATTAATTACAGCTAATGATCTTTATATGTGACCAATATCTCTAAGAGGATTCAATCTTTTATTGATGGAGGGTCCGGGGTCTTTTTGGCAGCAGTTAAACCTGAAATGATGATTCTCCTAAGGGCTAACGTGGTAATATCACTGACAGCAAAGTTATTGTTGAATTAAAGCAAGGAATTTAGGAATTGTGAATTCCAGGATATGTTCAAGCTACTTAGCCACCTTAGACCAGAGAGCAGATATACAGTAGAAGGGTATTCCCAGAAAACATGAAGGTATGACTGATTATTATCATAACAAATATAGCTAGCTCAGTTTTGTTGACAAAACATCAACACATTTTAATGTATTATTGTTTAGTCTTAATTATGTTTTGGCCAGGTAAAATATCTGTGGCTTCATTCTAATGACATCTCTTCCTTGTTCCCTCTGCACACCCATCCAGACACAGTGCAGACACTAAGCACCATGTTCACAGAGGTGGTTGTCGCTCTGGTGACTGGAGGACTGATCTACTTCCTGCTTCGGAAGAACAAGATCCAGGTTCTGAAGACAGAGGATGGCTGGTGGGGGGCCGGAGCACCATCCAGTGGTGGAGAGGATGTCACCATCCGCCCCTTTAAAGTCGCCACCAGTGATGAAGAGCTGGAGGTTAGATTCCCTCTTAGTTTGCCGTTCATGGTAGTCACTCCATAGCATTTACTCATGAGGTAGTTAAGCACGTAACAGCATGAAACATTCTGTCATTTTCTGTCAGGACCTGTACAGGAGGATAGACCAGACTCGCCCTGTTCCTTCCCTAGAGGACAGCCAGTTTAATTATGGCTTCAACTCCCAGTACCTGCAGAAGGTGGTCTCTTACTGGAGAAACGACTTTGACTGGAGGAGACAAGTTGACAAAATCAACCAGTACCCCCACTTCAAAACCAACATCGAAGGTGAGGTTGCACTGCTGACACGTTCATGAAAAACACATTGTCCTACCTCTCTAACCTGCTCTTATTCATCGATCTTCCATCCAGGCATTGATATCCATTACCTGCATGTGAAACCCAAGAAGGTGCCAGAGGGAACCACTGTGATTCCTCTGATAATGGTTCACGGCTGGCCTGGCTCCTTCTATGAGTTCTACGGGTTGATCCCTCTGCTGACGGAACCATCAGACCCAGGTGACCTTGTGTTTGAGGTGGTGTGTCCCTCTATACCAGGGTATGGTTTTTCTGAAGCACCACACAAGAAAGGTGAGTTTTATCTTTCAGAGACTGGAAAACATTTACACTAGATCACGCTAGATTTAGAAAATTCCTTTCATCAATATCATAAACCTTTTTCTGTTGCAGTGCTATTGTTAATACTATAGCTTACTGCGCAGTAAAGAGGAGAAAAACTGGTTTTGTGCTTTTTGCCATTTCAACCATAGAAATACAGCTGAATGAAACATCATTTATCTCAGGACCAGGGTATAATTACGGTCAATAGAAGAGTGTAATTATGCACAGATCACATGTATGAGCAAGGCTATTCATATTTAAGCTTTAATGAAGAGAGTAACAGTTGCACACTGACTCCATTTAATCCCAGGTTTTGACTTGATGAAGACCCAACTGGGAGTGTCTAATTACAAAAACAACCCAAACACATCTAAAGTTCATGGCTGCATCAAAAACCTGAGTGCATATAAAGAGCTGAGTTTGTTCAATTAAAGTGCATGTGCCTGAGTAAATAGTAAGCAAGTAGGAATATTGCAGGACTATTGTATGAGATTGTTTTGTCTTTAGTTCTTTATTTGAGCTTATAATAAGGACAAAACAGAAGAAATATACAATAATATATGAACATACACAAGAGGGATGGAGAAAACACCCAGGGTTTGTAAAAGGAACCCACCTAACATTGAAATTAAAGACATATGTAATTGCCACAATTTTACATTTAAATGTATCTAGGCATGTCTAGTAAGCTGGTAACTCAGTGTATATACAGTACATATACAAAATGTACAAACTAGCACTAAAAATGATACACAGTGAATGTTGTTTGACCAGGGCTTTCTACATGATCAAGTAGTATAGTTAATTTCCTGCCATATATATATATATATATATATATATATATATATATATATATATATATATATATTCTAAATGTGTGTGTGGACAGGTTTTGATTCAGTTTGTGCAGCACGCATCTTCCACAAACTGATGAGGCGTCTGGGCTTCCAGCAGTTCTACGCTCATGGAGGAGACTGGGGCTGGCTGGTCACCACCAACATGGCTCAACTGGAGCCAACGTAAGACACACAAGAACTTCATTTCACATCATTTGGACTTTTTACTCCATGTTGTATGCACGCAGTGAACTAGTCACAGCCACCTGTCCTGGAAACACCAGATCTTTGATGATATGTATATGTCTATGTATTTCTGTACACTTTCTTACCCCAGGACAGTCAATGGTTTGCATGTGAACTTCGCCCCGCCCTCCAAGCCGACGCTGCCCATAGTTTTATCCATCATGCTCGGCCGTCGCTTCCCTAAGCTGTTTGGCTTCACTGACATAGACATTCAGCGTCTCTTCCCCCCCACGGAGAAACTGGTGGTGGAGTCCATCAAAGAGTCCGGCTACATGCACATCCAGGCCACCAAGCCTGACACCGTAGGTAAGGACCCACTGGGTCTATTTGCAACATCAGATCATTTCCTCTCGTGTTCATCTTGACACGTTTAACAGATCAGAAAAAACAGGACGCTGACACCATATGTGATCTGCATGTAAGAAGTGCTCGCTTTTCTGTAAGGGGCCCCAGGAACAGAAGCCACATCACCATAGTGGAAGCTTTTACTTATGTTTATCTGTGTTTTAGGCAGTAGGTATGAGCTACAGATGAGAGGTGAGCATCATCAGAATGATATTGATTTCCATGCTCTCCAACAGTGCAGGCAGCCAGCAGTTAGGAGAACAAGAGGTCATTTAACAGATTTAAAAAATATCTCCCTGGGACTCGAATGATCAAACATGACTTTGAAGATAAAGGACACCAGCAGAAAGGTGGTGGTAGATCAATGGAGCAAATTTAATTAGACTGCCTACGGAAAAAACAATAGATCCCCCAGCAGCATGCTTAACGCTCAACTACTTTGCTCAGTGGCCAAACCTCATTACAGGATGGACTGGGCATCCTAGATAACTGTGGGTGTCTCTGTGAGCTGTGCTCGAAATAAACTTTTCTCGTCAGTGTCCCACAACTGTCCCAAATTCTACTTTCAGATGTCCCAGACTTAACAACCATTGTTCCAACGTAGAAAAAAGCTTTTTTCCATTCTACATTTTAAACATAGCATGAATATAACTTTGTTTCAGTAACACGCATCACTTCATTGACTCACTCTGGTCCGCCATGGAAGTTCTGCTGGTTGTGTTTTGCATAATCAGTGCATCAATTAATGCATCCCTGCAAACTGCAGGGCAAATGCAAACCTCTTTCTGATTGGTATACACCCATAGAAATACATAATAATCACAAACATTGTTTATTTGAAGTAAAAAGGTTAAACAAACCTAAAAAACGGACGGGGAAGGTCAAACTAACTATTTAAATATTTACAAGCTCAAAATAACTATTTACATATAAGATATAGGCACACCCTAATCCAGAGATCCGGAGAGAAGGTGCTAGTTTAATTGTCCCCGGGACCTCTTTAATTTTGAGCGCTGTCTGTGAGTGCACTTTTAGTGATCCTGCTCCTATGAGGAAATTGCTCTTAGTCCTCTAGACTGACTTCATTAGGGTTTAAAGGGATTATGTGATTTAGGTCAACTGATCCTTTAAGATCACAGATTTACAATAAAAACAAATGTACAATTATTTTGAATCAAGTCATTTGGGACTCTGGATTCCCCTTCAGGTCGAGGACTGAATGATTCTCCGGTGGGTCTGGCTGCTTACATTCTGGAGAAATTCTCCACGTGGACGAGCTCCGACTTCAGGAGCCTGGAGGATGGAGGGGTCACCAGGTACAGAACAGAATAGAAGGGAGTCATTGCTGATATTTGCCATCACCAAATCCTCCATTATAAAAGGGTACTATTTGGAAAAGGTTTTGCTTTAATCAGATTTGATATTGATGAATGATGACCTCCTACAGTGGGTAACACTCAGTAGCCTTATAACCAAACCTTTACTATTATTACTGCAATATGAAATCTTGTGTGCCTTGTAGGAAGTTCTCTCTGGACGATCTGCTGACTAATGTGATGATCTATTGGACGTCTGGCTGCATCATCTCTTCCATGAGGTTCTACAAGGAAAACTTTGGCCAAGGCCTCGACGCACCTCACACTAAGTGAGTGACAACCACAGAGTTTGATGTCACACTTCCATTGTGTTGGTGCTTAAAGAACAGATGTAGAAACTTAACTTTGTGAACTTATTTGTCTGTTTAATTTACTGCACATGTAGCTACAAAACATGAGTCCTGAGGTCATCAAGTTGTAACAATTTTTGCAGGGTATTTTATCATCAGTCGATTTTGCTTGATGTTTCTTAAAAAGTCTGAAATTGGACATGTTAAAAGCTGTAGAAACCGTACTACTACTGTATGTCCATTGCCATAAAAGTTGTTTACTTTCACCAACTTATTTGTTTTCCAGAGCTTCTCACCCTCCTTTACAGAAACATCGGAATTAGAAACTAAATGCTAAAATATAAGTTGTTTTTCCAGTGGAGATATCACACGTTTTTTTGTCATGAAGTTGGTCAAGTACTAGCATTAACAGCACTTAAATAGCAGCTGTAATGTTAAAATCCCCTCAGTATTTAATATGAGCTAACACTTGATTTTCTCTCACAGGATACCAGTGTGCGTCCCCACTGGGTTTGCGTGCTTCCCCAACGAGCTCATGCACTCTCCCAAGCTGTGGGTCAAACAGAACTACCCTAAACTCGTGAGCTACACGCCCATGGCCCGTGGCGGCCATTTTGCTGCCATGGAGGAGCCCCAGCTGATGGCCGAGGACATCCAGAACTTCATTAAGACAGTGGAGAAGAAGAAGAAATAGAAGATGATCAGGTGAAAGAAGTAAACGTACAGTATGAAAGTATTGATAAGCTGATGGATGAATGGAAAGCAAGTGGAGCACAATGGTGAGCAGTAAGTAGACATATACACCCAATCTTGATTCTAGGCTGTGAAGTAAGTTTCTCTTTGTGCTGGAATCAATGATATAGTGTAGTTTTGTTAGTGAAATTCCTTATCATAATTCTTCATGATTGAGCCTTATGCAGTGTTGCAGTTTTTTCATTGGTTTGGGCTCATTCTCTGTGCAACTGTCACAAATCCATCTCATGTCTGCAAAAGGTAGTAACTCACACAATTGGCCATAGTCACCAAAATGAATGGATGAATTGGATCGTTTATATGAAGTCATATATAGTGAACACAAAATGACATCCACGTCAAACTGAATTAGTAGGGTAAACACAGCAATTATACTAATTAAAGCTCTGTTCCATTCAGGTCAAACAGAGTCTGTGTGCTACTATTGTGTATGTTTTCTCACTGGAAAGGTTCTGCTGCACTAAATGGAACAGAACAAGAAGTGCTGTGAAAAAGGTCTATTTGTAGTTATAAAGACATGAAGCTGAGCTTATTTTGGAGCTACTGTTCAGACTTTCTGTCTAGATCGTTCACTTTTAAAACTGTTAAACAACACAAATTTTTTTTTTACATGAAGGAGACACGTTCACAGCCTTTAATGCTAATCCAAGTACTGTTCGACTTGTTTATATAAGCACAGCATAGTAAATTACAAAAAAAACCATTTCTTTCTGCAAGTGGAAGGTTGCTGCAGGCTTGCTCACTACCAGCCACATCACTAGTCCCTAACAAACTCACAGCTACACCTGTCAGTGCAGATTAAAGTCGGAGAGTTTCCTCCAAACTTCCCTCAGCCTTGTAGTCTTGAATTGTTTACAAAGCAGCTGCAGATGGGAGGTCAGGGGGTTGCTTGTTGTTATTGTGTTGACAGTTTGGTCGAGGTGCCAGGCATTCCTCTAACCGATAACAGGAAATCTCTTTATTGAAGCTACAGCCGTGCCGCCACGTTATCGGCTTAACCCACTGAATTATGTTTCATTTTGCTGTATTTTTCCCTCTGGACTTATTCAGAACTGATTTTTAGTATTTTAACGCTCTGATGAAGTCAGATTTCTTTAATACATTACACAGTTAACACATTTTGACAGCTTTTGATTTATTTGCTTTATCAGTTTTACATTTTGCCTCATGGTGGACTTTGATTTGCTACAAAAACTAGAAGCACTGGTTACTTATATTAATGTCCTTCATTAAAGTTTTTGATATTCAGAATCTGATAATCATCGTAAGATCATGTTGGTCTTGACAAAGTTGAATACGATCTGTAATGCTGTTTGACAAGTTTTTTCTGAAGGTGATTTACTTAAATGATGAAATGTATTTGGTTTTATTAAAAAGAGTGAAACAATTTTACAAACTGGCCATTCGGAATGTATCTCATGAATAAAAGCCTTGGAAATGTAGTCACCAGAGGTGTTTTGTCAACTTCTGAAATGCCATTTCATTTCACAATAATGCCAAAATCTGATCTTTCCCTTTATAAACAATGCAGTTTAAAATGAATCGGAGTGTATCCTACCATTCCAGGAAGACCAGAATGACATGTTGTATCTCAGATTGTGGCAAGCACAATGTTATTTTTGACCAAATAAAACTGACACTGAGTAGAGCACAGTTTTAAGTGTTATTTCAAACTGTTTCGGGGGCATCTACAGAGCTCTTCATTTACTACTGCGCAGTTCCTGGAGTTCAACATTGGATTTGACAATCACGATAACTGCACATTTAAACCACAGAGGCACACATAACATTAATTTTACAAGATGATGGGAGCTTAAGAAGACAGCTGTGACATTCACCTCGACAGAGAAGCGCATACAGAGTGGATCTTTCCACTTGAAATGGTAGATTGTGGTAGTACTGAACTGGTTCTCAACCGTGTAATAAAGGAAAAATCCACTTTCTTTCCCAGTGAAAATAATGAACAAATGCCTCTTCAAAAAGTTAAAAGTGGGTATTAAGAGGATTTCAGTTAAAATAAAAAACCAATAAACTAAATAAACCTGAGGTAAGCAGATAATTGTTGGGCAAGAGAACTCTTGCACGAATGACACTCAAATATGCCCTGATGGGGGTACTAAAGGGTTCTTTATTCACTCAGGTTTCAGTTGCAGAAAACTCAAAATCACTTTCAGTCAGAAACGAGAGACAGCAAAGAAACCTCAATGGGGCCTAAAGACCAGAGTTCTGACAGAATGTTAAATGCAGTTAAAACAGGAACTTCTAACGTTGGTAATGGTAGACAGCAAACAAAATCACCAATCACATCATAAATGATTGATAAAGTCTGACTTGTGGCCATAGTGAAATGAGATGAAGGATTACCAATGTAGAGCTTAGGAAAAAAGAATGTGTCTCAAAAAGTGGGAGCATAGATAAAGACTTAAGCCGGGCTCAGACTAAAGGGGTTTTGTCCCGATTTACCTCAGATCCATCCCTCCCGACAATTGGAGAACGTCTAGGTTGATACCAATGTGAGGGGTTTACAGATGCAGTCTTTTGAAGGCGCTGTATTGCGAGTCTGTTTTTGTTTAATAGCTCTGTATTCTAACAGCCATCACTGATAAAAAGTGTTCAGTCAGTAACATGGGTCTCCCAGTCCCTCCTTCCTGCAGTAAACCGAGAATACATTACCTGGTATCCCGTTTCAACTTTATCCAATCAGGAGAGAGAACTCCACAAAGAGGCGGTCCTTAAGTGCAGGCAGCAGAATTTCAGTGTGGTGACGAGGGGAGTGTGAACTGCAAGAACGGACAGGAAGTTAGGCAAAATGCCAAATTTACTTACAGCACCCTTAAGTTAACTAACCATATAGCAAGTTAGCTTGCAATAGTAACAAACATAAGCTTTAATGAAACTTGATATCTGTAACATGGGCAAGTGAAAATCTAGGACTTAAATGGACATTCAAAAATTGCCTGTGGAAGTGAATCAGATTGTTCTCTTCATTCTAACATGATGAGGTTGATGCTGGGATGCCCTGAATATACAAAATGCACTTCGGCCCCTCTTTGGTAATATTCAATGTCATACTGCTCCAAGCTCCCAATCCCACTGCTGTCCAGTTGTTAGCTGAACTGTGAGTTTCCCAAGCCCCCCCGCCGCCGCCGCCCGAGTGCCCTGGCTCAGCACATCCTCCAAGTGATGCACTCCTCCAGGCCTGACTGCCTGCCTGCCTGCTCTTTCTTGGCAGCCAAACAGCCAGGGGAGGATCGGGACGACCGGGCGGCTGAGATAAGGACCGCATGAAGTTCCCCACATTACCTCACCCGATAAGGAAACAAGCAGAGAGAGAGAGAGAGAGAGAGTCAGACTGGGAGGGATTCTCTCGATGGACAGTGATGCACAGAGAGGCAGACGGTGATTGTGGGGTTTATACCAGTTGTTTAGGGGTGTGGGTGGGACTCGGGGTTCCACAGAGCCCTGGTGAACTCTGGGAAGGAGCTTGAAGATGCTTGAACAGACCTCAGCAGCTACAGAGAAAATGAACACAGAATAGATTCGTTTATACTTTTCTCGAGATCAGATGAGTGATTTCAGCTGTTCCAGAGCCAGTATTTTTTTATCTATTTTTTAAGATGCTTTCAGATTAGATGGAAAGATGACCTCAGACTGCGTGTTCAGTATTTACCAAAGCACTTAGTGGAAGATACAACAAACCAACGAAGCAAACCTCCATCCAGCCAATGAAAATAGACTGAACCAAAGTGAAATAAGTTCTTAAGTCTTCAGGAGAGTCTGCTGCAGCGCTTTGGCAGCATCCATGGCGGTGAATCCTCTGGAAGGTCTCATGTCGGTTGCGGCGAGCCACCAGCTGGTCTCCAGCTCCACAGTACAGGCGCAGATGCAGCGGCCCTGTGCAGCCGCCAGCCCGGCGTCCCTGCACGGACACAGGCAGAGCGTACGTAGCAGCCGCCAGCCGAGGAAGTGGGTGAGTCTGAATTCATAGTCTGAAACTCAAGCATCCCCCTGGTTCCTAAGACAGATTTGGCTAATTCTGAGCCGCCAGAGGGATGTTGCACAACCTTCGTCACAATTTGAACATACCAGGAAACCATAGAAACTGCTCGCTTGAAGTTTGTTTTGTTCATAAAACCAGTCAAATGTAATCTCAGAGGAAAATTATGGGACATATTTCCCACAGACTGATTCGCAGGTTATTAGACTGTAGCAGCATGTGTGGAAGATGGAGGAATCTATCCTTTATCATTCCATGGTTATGATTTAAAAAGTTGAAATTTCTGGTAATTCGACAAGGTAAGGCTCCATACCGCTAACTTATGAGTCTGATGTGGAAAGTTGAAGATGAGTGCCAACAAGTATAGTGGAGTTTAAGATCCCTTTTTCATTTGATGGAAACATTAAATAGATGACCTGTGGATGATGCATGACTGAAACTGATTTGTCCTTGTTTTTGCCTGTTTTGTGTGGACACACATGTAGCAGTCCAGATAAATTCTAACAGGTAAAATGCACTCCTCTCTATCTATCTTTTCTCTATTTTTAAACATACACTAAAGAAACAGCATCAACATAACGCAGTTTATTCTCTAGTAATCCCTCGCAGTATAAATTACTTCAGAAGACTAAAAAACTTAAAAGTATCTAATAACTACAAGCCCAAGTTATCCATTTTCTTCATAATTTATGACATCATTTCCAAAAGCGTATTTTAGTTCCATACATGTTAGTAAAAATTATTTTGTTAAGTGTGTATGTAGTACACATATAAATGACTAATGAAAGAATGAAATGAAACATTTTTATTTTGCTGTCATGCAGAAATCTCAGGCTCTAAACACGTCCTCCACTACAGGTGCAGTCTGTGTCTGGTTGTGGTGGGTCTGCTGTCCAGTCCAGGACACTGAGGGGTCAGCACTCCCCCGAAAACGCAGCGAGAGAGAGGAGCCGTGTACGAAACTTGCGACAGGCCTTCCACAGCCTGCAGGTACACTACACTTTATGAATTAATGAGTGAAGTAATTATGTAAAACCTGACCACCTTAAGCTAATAACTGTATTTAACCTAAAAAAGACATTTTATGTTCTGCCTACATCTTCTGTGTTCTCTGTGGTGGTTCAGGAGCAGATTCAGTCACTTTTTCAAAGACCTGTGAAGGATAATCAGTCTAATTACTGGGCCACACATCCCACCCTGGCTTATTATATGCAGCACACATTGTTGTTGATTTATTAAAGAGACAAAAAAAACCTCTTAAAACTAGGCCTGCATGTTAATCCGTTCATTTTCATTTTAATCAACCAAAGATATTGAAAACTTCAGCTGTGTCGAAGGTCTCAGTTTCAGATTTGACAAGCATATTTGTGTTATGTGCAAAATCCTTTTGAACTGATATGAACTAATGCAGTCCGGTAGAGAGAGTTGAAAGAGAGCTGTCTGTCCTCCTTCCTCCTCTGTCCTCAGGCTGCTCTTCCCTCAGTCCCACCAGACACTAAACTGTCCAAGCTGGATGTTCTGGTTCTGGCTACTAACTACATAGCTTACCTAACAGAGACCCTGGACCAGGGAGGGATGCTGGCTGAGCACACCCTGCCGTCGAGGCCGGGTGGATACCTGCATCCTGTTAAGGTAAGGACAGGAACCGACAGCTTACTGCTTGTTATTTTACTGAATGTTAGACATGACCTGCTGGATACACAAATGATATTACCTTTAGATAACTAGATAATTTTAGCTAACCATAAGTATATAAAACCATTAATATTACCTTCAGATAACTAGATAATTTTAGCTAAACAAAAGTACATAAAACCACTAATATTACTTTTAAAAAGTAGCTAAGTTTAGCGAATAATAGGCACATAAAACCACTAATATTACCTGTCAATAGCTATCTAATTTTAAAACAAAACATGGCTGCTGCTGGTTAAGGTCTGAGCTCCCAGTATTTATTTTCTGTGTAGTTACATTGGCTATTGAACTGTTGGACTTTTTTTAAATTTGTTAAAACTCAATAAACTACATTTTTTTATTTAATAACTGAAAGAGACTCAGATGAGTGTATCAACGTTTTTATCTGCTCACATCTGTTCACATCTGGATTATGGCAGCTGGATAATCAGGACAATGTTCAGAGAGACTTTAATAAGAAAATCAAACTGAACAATAAAAGTAATGGGGACAAAAACAGGATGTTCGTGTTCCACCCCCCACAACCATTCACTGTGGACCATACTTTGCTCTTGTAAAACTGTAATGTTTCATATTGTTACATTCATCCAGATGAGTTTTGACTAGTTTGCTCACCTCAACTGTTAGTGCCAACCATATTAGCATGAAGAGTTAACTCAGTGTGCTATCTCTCTCCTCAGAAGTGGCCCATGCGTTCCCTGCTCTACTGCGGCAGCATGGGAGAGCTGCTATCAGGAGTCCCAGCCAATCAGATGCCTCCACCTGTACGGGATGGGACACACCCACTGACCCCCACCTCAGACGAAGCAGACAAAGAGTGATAGTAAAAGATGGGACATAACTTTCACCCTGTCTCTTATCTCCAGTGTTACACAGCCATGTAGCTACATCTACTTCTCTGGAGACAGAGATCACTGATGGAAAGCAATTGATTAGTTTGCTCAAGCAAAGCAGAAACTAAAATCAAACCTTTTAGACCCCCAAAAGTAAAATGAAAGGCACAATTTTGAACACTTTGGATGGATGATAAAACATACATTCTTGCAGTTTTTGGTTTATCTAATAATGAAGGACAGGGCTTAAATTAACCTGCAGCTACAAGGACAGTAGCCATTTTTAGCTCTGGTTGTTGGGAGTGAAGGCAGATTTGCCTTACATGCCCTGATTAAACAGAAAACAGCTTATTTTTGTTGCCTCTGACTAGTTTGTAGAACCTGACCGATATGGGATTTTTGATTTTAGAGGGGAAAAGATTCACAGATTACCAATAATTATTCATTCAATGATTAAGCTGGAATGAAAGTGGACCTTTTCTATGTGGGTCGTGCACCGATATGACTATACAAAGGTATTCAGAAGGCTGCTTTCTTAAACAAATACCTTTAATAAAGAATATTTAAGATCCCCTCCAGACATGTATTAAGACATGTATACAAATAGTCTTCTTGGAACAATAATGTCTGTGTCTGATATGTTTTTTTCCCACAAAAAACATATAATTTCCACATTCATATTCTTATACAAGAATCTCCTCCTTCTACCTCATTAAAACTTCCAGAATCTCTGAATAGGAAAATGTTTTCCTGCTGGACACAAGATGTCTCCTACTTCACTGTAAAGTCCATTCTCAGTGGATGTGCACTGGTGGATCACACTGTATAAGTTGCATACTGGACCAGGACTGACTCCAAACTATTTGTGATGTCACAAATCCTGCTGGTAGGCCCCGCCCCTTAAAATCAGCTTTTCAATGAGCACAGAGAAACTTTCCACTTTCAGCAGATGAATGTGAAAACATCCTTCTAGAGTCAAACTCTGCACAGACAGTATTAAGACAGCACGCTGTAGGAACAAGAAGAAACACTGATTTCTGACTGGAGGGGACTTTAAATATTATTTTATGTGTTAAATAATTTAACACATACTTTCTCAACCAATTTTAGTTGGTTAAACGCTGAGAGCTGCTTCTCCTCTCTAAAGCCCTATTCGCACGGGACTAGTATTACCTGGGGACCTCTAGTAATTTGTAATAATTGCGGAGGTCGTCTGTGATGTTAACCCTGTGCGAATCAGCATCTCTGTGATTTGGGGTCGCTTTTTGTTTTTTTTAAGGTTTTTTGTGTTTTCCGAGCCTTTTTTCTGCCTTTTTCCCGGTTGAGAATTATGGAGGCTGCGTTGGCAATTATAAATGAAAGTTTTGACAACATTTTGATGTTTGTGGGCATGCTGGGAAAACAGCAGACAGACACTGATGTGAGAAAGATGTTTGAGCCGTTCGGCAGCATAGAGGAGTGCACGGTGCTCCTTGGGCCCGACGGTACCAGCAAAGGTAACGTCAGATCAGTAACAGACTATTACACATAGGTTACGCAGAGCCTTGACATCATATCCGGGGGATAATGTCAGTAAATTCGAGTTAAAACACAGACTTCGCTTATCCCGTGCGAATGCGCCGCACGAAACACAGATGTGGTGGGGTAATTACTAAATCACATGAGGTCCCCAGGTAATATTAGTCTCGTGTGAATAGGGCTTAACTCTGTGGTCCTTGCCACAGTGTTGTAAATCCCAGTGCACTATGCTGGACGAACCTTGCAGTGACACCAGTATATTACCGCACGCATTATTTTTTGTGTTATATACCAGAAAAAAACATTTAAAGGTTTATAATTGGTGCATATTGGATAACATGTCAATACCCATATGTCTGTGGTAGGCCAATTTTGGCTGATAACATTGGCCAAGTGATATCGGTCAGGATCTACTAGTTTGTCGCGTGTATTTGCAAAAGCCTTGAAAAAAGTTGTTTTTCCCTGCCAGTATCAAACTAAGAGAACACACACAGGTTCAGATACAGGGTTAATATACACAGCGACCGTTGCTGGAAATATTCCATTATTATCTGAGCATTAGACAGCAGGTTGTGAGCAGCAGGTTTAATGCGAGGAAATGAAAAGGCTGCTTCGTTTGACTAATTACACCACAAATCACTACATGGAGGAACAGTGTGTAACCTATTATCTTGAATTAAAGCTTGTACAGTGTTTTATATTATTTGTTTCAGATGTTACTTTCACCGTATGGACGAGCTCAGGCACCCGTGTGCTCTTTTAAAAAGAATAAAATGTATCTTTGTTATTGTCTGACGCTTTTTATTTAGATGTTTGTGGTATCGCATGAAGTCAGTGTGTTTGTGTGTGTGTGTGTGTGTGTGTGTGTGTGTGTGTGTGTGTGTGTGTGTGTGTGTGTGTGTGTGTGTGTGTGTGTGTGTGTGTGGGAGTGGAAGGACGGACAGACAGATGAGTAGTGAGGGAGGGATTGTTGTGGGAACACAGCTGCTGTCTGAATCCTCCATATCTTTGCTGTAATGACCACTTAGTTCTCATTACAACTCTGCCACAGAATGTAACCTTTTACTTTAAGTAAAACACCATCTGCAACAACAGCTCTGGTGTTGGTTCATCACATATTCGACAGACATCGTAGATGCAGAAAAAATCCCAGTGGTTACATTCAACCTGAGTGGGAAGTTAGAGCCTGTTGCAGCTCTTAAAGAAAGGTCCAGTGTGTAACGTTCAGGATGATCTATTGTCAGGAATGGAATATAATATTCATAGGTATGTTTCTCATTAGTATATAATCACCTGAATATAGGAGTCGTTGTGTTTTGTTACCTTAGAATGAGACGTTTTATCTAGAGATGCCACAGGACACCTTCCATGGAGTCTGCCATGTTGAACCGCCATGTTTCTACAGTAGCCCAGAATGGACAAACCAAACACTGGCTGTATAAATAGGGCGCTTCCTCTGTAGATTGAATATTACATTCCATTTCTGCCATATTCTGTCAATAACCCCCCCTGGATCTTTAAATAAAATGAAAATAATCCTGATTGTATTTTGCTCAGGAGTTCTGAATGAATGAACACACTTTGGTCATTCAGCAAAGTTCAGGACAACTGGCAGGTTAGAATTACTCACAGAAAACACCTTATTCATAAAACTAGCATGTTATTTAATCTGGATGATAACTTTGATGAAGTCAACTTTGAATGAGCATTTACATTAATTAAATAACTGGTTCCCAACCCTTTTTCTTAAGGGACCCCTTTTCTGTCATTTAGTAAACTGACAAGTTATTTTAATATTGTATTAAGAACTGTACAATGAACCCAAACAGTGAACTCTAACCTCAAGTAGTTTGTATAAAACGAGTGATTTGGATTCATTTTGAGCAGATTATTTCCCGTTCAGGGAACTTTTATACAATTCTCTTCCTGTATGATGTATTTTTGGATTATTTTTAACAATCATAAAGACTTAATAGGCTTATTTTTTGACAAATTTAGTGTTTTATTGTCCCTGACTCTTGGCCATTGTTCTATGAGACCTTTAAATAAATGTATTATTTATTTACTTTTCTTTTGGAAATGAATGAAATGAGTGCTGAAATATAGGCCTGCTGTGTATATTTTTTTAGTTTTCTAGCTAGGTCCCGATCCCCACGTTAGGAAACGACTGGATTAAATCACGGGGTAGTGTTGGAGAAGTTTGCAAACTAATTTCATAATGACGTTAACCAGCATTAGAAATGTCACAGTCCAGATGTTGCATAGTTCTAGCTCAACACTTTGTGGACTGATAAACAATTAAAAACCTAATGTCCAAATTGATGCCTACATATTTAAACTACATCTATGCAGATTTTCAGTAATCATGAAATCATGAATTGATTATTTGGTTGCATTCTTTTTTTTTTGAGGAAACTCACATTTTGTCCACATGCATGCATTTTGTTGTGATATGATACTGTTTATCTACATGCACCACTTTTTGAAAATTCTGAATTCAAGATCTCAAATTCTTTTACATTAGCTTGCGTTATCATGAAATCCCCCACAAACATTGATATTTTGTGTATTTATAGCTCAAAAGTAAGTTTAGTTAAAAGTAAAATAAGTAAATCCTAAAGCTAAATATTAGCACAGTTTGACTGGCTGAAAAAAAAGACTCCAGTGTCCTTTTTTCACAGTATTTGTAGTTCCTGTATCTCAAACTATAATTCACTAATTATCATATTTTGTTGCTGTGTGATAACACTGTATTAGCAGCGATGAGAGCTCAGCACTGACATCCAATCCAATAAGTCATGTAGATATGTTTGTGGGGCGGATCGGAGAGGCCTACAACAGATGAGAGCTCAGACCAACTAAAATAATTTCCCCTGGAAGAAGATGGGCTCAGCTCCACGAGCAACAGATCAGCGTTCAAGGCTAGGTCTATAAATCTGTCCAGAGAGGGGGCAGGAGGGGGCTGCTGCCCCCGATTTCCCTTGTAGTTATGACTAATTTGGAGCTGCTTGGAGTCTGGCTACTAAGGCAGAGGTTACAGAAGGATAGGAGAAGCCAGACAGTTTGGTAAAGCAACTGCAAGAGAGACTAAGGTCAAATGAGAACCAGGACCAGGCTCGCAGCTGGCTCACTGTGCAAACTTTGCACATGTATGTGTCGAAAGAAAATACTGTATTTATTCATCTTTAAAAGGCTTATGGAAGTTTTTGCTGGAAAAAATGAAATGAAAAAACATTGCAAAGAGAGAACTTTCCTAGATCCATGTCTTTAAAGTTCCAGTGTGTAACATTCTGAATGATCTATTGTCAAAAATGGAATATAATAGCAGCTTTAATTTATGTCAGATGTTTTTCCTATGATGATCCTATGTTTTAGTCTTCTGCATAAGACAAACCTAGCATTAACTAAATGCAGCCTTAACTTGGCATCTGCGTTGACTTTAAACAAGGTGTCGCTCATGGACCATTGCAGAGCCATCGAAGAACACTAACCCAGCCAGTATAACCAGGAACAACTTCAGTTGGGTGGATAACACAGCTGGACCAAAAGGCCCCACTCTATGCAATATATCATTTTTAGTGCCAAATATTCCTTTCAAATACAATATGGATTAAATACTCCATTATTCACGGAAGTTCTGGTTAATCAGAAAAATAAATTGCTCAACGTGCCTTCAGATTCTGATATAATGTAATATATACATTATATCAGAACATATAACAGTCACAGGTGCCTTTAAAGTGTGTATGTGTGTAAAGACAGCTATTTATGCCACTGGAACAGCTTCAAGAGAGTGTGTATCCAAACTGCCCGCTCATCGTCTCATGTTGGGAGATAATCAACATATTTTCACTATCTCCTGCTCATTATGGCCGGTACACGCTGGTTACATGCTGGATTTATGGAGCTCTGAGGCCACACTCCCCCTGCTTTGGCCCGGGCCTGTGCTGGAACTGGGTTTAAGTCGAGGGAGCGGATGACAGCGAGAGGGAGGAGGATGACTTGAGAGAAGGATGAAGAGGAAGAGAGAGCTGGACTGTGAAAAAAATAAATATGGAAAGAATAAGAGACAAGGACAAGAGGACAACAGAGGGAGAGATGAAGGTGAAAGGGGCAAAGAAAAGGGAAAAAAGTGAGTGGTGACAAATTGACTCCACTTGCTGAACAAAACTAATGTTAGAAATAAATAATTTTTGATCAGTCTGTGATAAGATTATTTCTCTAAATGAAATGATGTTACTCTGGTAAAATAAAGCTGCACTAGGTTACTTTTATGATAATAACATTTTGTCATATTTTCTGAAACTTTCACTATATCCTGACAGTTGTACATGAGACAGATAATCTGTGAAAAAATCTGGTTCCTCTGACTCCTCCTAGTGCTCCTAATGGTATTTGCAAGAATCCGGTGGGCCTGAACGAAAACAACCAATCAGAGCCGAGACAGATATAAAGACACTTTGGGTTGGAGGCTTAAAGATAGTTGACTGTTGAGTCTCGTTCCCAGCATCGGTATTTGGCAACCTGGTAATGTTGCCAATCTTTCCCGGCTCTGATATACAGAAATCTCATGCCCACGTCATCATCAGGCGGTGTAAATCATGTGATCACACCCTCAGGACGATATGTTTTGTGTATTGAGAACATGATGATGCTTTTTTGGAGAATGTGGGTGCTATAATACTTGTGTGATGGTTTGTATCATTATAAATGGTTATTTGATTCAAACTAATTGAAGAGAAAATGACACATTGTGCCATTCAGGCAGAAACCAGAAAAGGCCTAGCTACCCCAGCAGCCACCCCAATGTGGTGTAAAATGCTGTCAAATTAATAGTGTGTTAAAAATCACATTATTAATTTGGAAACATTTCTGAAAATTTGGAAATAAAACAGTTCAGGGGTTCTAACTAACTAACTTGTTCTGTGGAAAGGTTTCACACTCTTCCCTGTAAATCTGCCTAATCCCGTATCAAATATGGGTTTGCTTACGGTTGTGTATCAGTTTGGGGGATCCTATAGATGACACCAACAGGGAAACAGTCACTCTGACCAAACAGGGGTTACATGTGGGGGAAAGGATAAGACTTTCCCGTGGGATCAGACAGCCACTGACTGAGGAGGAACATTCTGGTTTCTCAAAACATCCAACCGAAGAGGAGCATTTCCAGATATCCTGACTTGCAGCAGAGGATTAGGGAAAGCTTTCATTTTAAACGCCAAAATGTTGATAGCAAATTCATTCTGAAACCTGGTATAATCACAAGCCCATCAGCCCCATTCCACCAGCATGGAGGTTTTTTTATTCATACAAACCTTTCCCTCCATCCAGGGTGTTCGCCTTTAATTCAGTTTTAACTTAAAATGTAACTTAACTTTTAGTAACTTGATCTTTGACCTTGGTATTTAGTATTATTTCAGTCAACTTTGCAGCAGATGTGTTCTGCAAATAAGACAAATCCAATAAATGGAGTTATAGCATAATTTATTAACATTATCAGCCAACCATTTATATTTAGATTTCCTGTATTTGTATAGTAATGCTTGTAAGACCTGTGAATTAATTATATGAACACTTTTACAGCAGTTTTTGGAGCAGTAACATATGCTCATGCAGCTCATTCAGGATATTATGGCTTGTATATAATGCTGAATAATGTTTACCAGTGAATATCTGTCTTCAGAGTAGTACCACCCTGGCTGGCTGAAAGCAATCCTTTAAAGCTGAAGTAGCGAACTTCTTCAATATGTCAGTATGTAACGTTTTGTCATATTTGCTGAAACTTTATTATATCCTGACAGTAGTACATGAAACGGATAATCTATGAAAAAATCAGGTTCCTTTGGCTCCTCCTAGTGCTCCTAATGGCATTTGTAAGAATCCACAAAAATCAATCCAATCAGAGATAGACAGTTGATTGTTTGATTGTTGAGTCTCATTCCAGGTTGTCAAATACTGACACTGGGATTTAGGCTGAGCTATCTTCAAGCCTCTTAAGTGTCTTTCTTGGCCCTGATTGGTTGTTTTCTTTTGTCTCATGTACGACTGTCAGGCTACAGTAAAAGTTTCAGCAAATATGACAGAAAGTTATTTTTGAAGGTTATTAAGGTTACCTACTGCAGCTGTAAGAGACTGTTCAGAGCTACAGAAAACAAATCACATAAAAAAAAAACATCTCATCACATTTTCCTATTTTAGCTGATACTTTAGTTACTAGGAGGGCAAGTTAACATCTTTCCCACTAGGTGGCACAAAAACATCACCACTTCTTTTTTACAGTAAACATAAAACAGCTGACATTAATGAATTTGTCATCATTTTAATAACATCTCAATTCAATTACATTTAACCTTTAAATCTAATAGTCATACATCCAACAACAGTGAAACATGTCAATAGATTTAGTCAGATTAGCTTTTCACTGAATTTAAAAGGTGAATGCACCACTTCTGTTTCACACTCCATCACCAGGACTGTTTCTCCCCACCATATCATGGGATACAGGATTCATTTATTCATTCAGAAATCTGGGTTTGGTCCACTACAGTTGTTTGGGACTGAGTCCATATTCAGGGGAATATCCTGTATGAAAACTTATGGAAGCCCTGAAAGCCAAGGGTTTTTTTTTTTTTACATTTTTCTCATGATAAGGTTTTAAAAATGTTTTCATCTGTGAAAGGTGAATTTTTTTACATCATTTTTCTAAGCAATTGTTTTCCCACCTTGTGATCGACAGGTGGAAAAAAATAGTTTTGTTTTACTGGTTTCACAGATTTTTTTCGAGAAAATAAGTAATTTTTTTTCTACCCTGATCTTTTTTTCATGTTTTCACAGATAAAGAGAAATAAACCCATTTTAACAGGTGAAAACCAATTCGATCATGAGAAAAGAAAATGTTTCACTTGCCTTTCAGGGCTTCCGTAAAAACTATGTTTAAATAAATAAAAATAAAAAAATCACAAAATGAAGGCACAGCCAAAGCAGAGAAGTCATCTCGACTTCAGTGCTTATGGGTTTGTTTGTTTTTTGGAATGCATAACAAGAAGAATTCTTGTGGATGGGAGAACAAATATAATAAATATTGTTTAAAACAATATTTATTGTTGTTGGAAATTACTAAGTGCCACGCTTTTTCTTTCGCAAACCATCTTCTCAACTGTGTTACTGTGCGGCCCAAACTGATTCACTGGTAAAAGGCCACTAATCAATACAATGAGGACGTATGACACTTGTAGAGGACCTCAAGTTGTTATCATTAAAATCAACACATTGACCACTGAAACTAAGCTGCTTTACACCAACTGATGGCTACAGTCAGATTCTTACTGACATCATTGTGCTTTATTAGGTGTTAGTGTTCATTAGTATCACAGTGCTCCACCCAGTCTGAGTGTATAAAGGACATATTTAACAGCAATAACATATCAGCACTTGAATTATGTTCCCTCACATATATAAAAGGGGGCTTATCTGCATATCATTGAGGTAACATTACAGGCACACACTTCAAGTAATTTCAGGTATGAGGGAGAGGGATTCACTACTATGCAATCCTAAATAAAGTTACACATTATCACATGTGATTTTAAAATGGTTTAAAAAAATCTAGGAGCCATTCAAATGTTGGGATAATTGTGGCTGTACAGGCTATATTATGGGATGTAATGCTAAAACATGAGCCAACATTTCCTGTGGAATGCAGTCTAAGGCAAAGGATGTTAAAAATGCTATCACATCCTAACAGTGAACGTTCCCATATCTGCCTGACGTTCATAAAAAACAAACATTTCATGGTTTTTGCATATAGAATTCCACATATCTGCTTATGAAATGTGCTCAGGCTTTTTGTGAAATTACAAAAATGTGCAAATGTGATCTCAAACATATCTTCTGTTGGTAAAAAACAAAACAAATTCATATTCTATATGCTTTGGATAAATTGAGGTATTTGAGAATCAGGATGATGGTGTTGGTTCTGTTACAGACATGGGTTTTAAAAGGGCTCGACATTCCATCAGACAGGGGATCTAGTGGTCTCGAGAGTCCGTAATCCGTTTCAAATAAATTAGACATGCTAAGCTGCTAAACTGGGTCACCTTGATTGTCTGGCATGTACTTACAACACCGGCAAACAAATTTGAACAGGACAAAGTAAGGCAACTGAGACGTGGATGTCTTCGTTTTTAGCATAGAGCAAGGTGACTGTTTAGATGAGATGCAGGTAAACATTTGTACTTCATGTGGACTCTCCATAAACTGTCGAAAAACTCTTTGGAAACATGTCAGGCTGGTTTGGCCGTTACGAGCTGAACAAACATAGTAAGTCACACTATGAAAACAGACAGTACTGACTCAAAACACTGCACACACACCACCTCTCCTCTTACACAATGACAATGGATGACTTAAAATGGTGATGGTCAAGAATTCTGTGATTCCAAAAAATCATGACAATAATATTAATATAAATGACACACTGTTACGCAAACCAATCACATACTAGCACTGACAACAATCTGAATTTCAAAATAAGGGGAAAAAAAGGAACAAGAAAAGACGGGCACTTACAAAGATATTTCAAATACAAAATTACCAGAGACGACTGAATTATCTTTACCTTCAAATAAGTTACTGCCCTACAGGAACTCTAGTAGGTCCACCACAAAGGGTCCAAGATGGTTTCTTTGTGTGATTCAGAGCAGTGCTGTGCTTTATTCAGGGCAGTCATATAAGATGGGAGCAGGTGTAAACTCATGAATAAGTAGGGGTCCTGTTTATGTAATAGATCCAACTGAGATGTGTGTACTGTAAAACATATAAAGCTAATTAAAGCCAGACAGCTTACAGAGTTATGGAGTGCTGCAAACATATCCCACATAAACAATCGGTCAGTGAGGCACTTTTTAACTTCATGGGGTTTTCATAAACATATCCCATGACGGAAAAACTACACAAACCATATTTTAAAAAACAATGGTCAATTCTGAGGATTAAATATCTTCTATCTATCTATATCTAAAAAGCATATTCCCATTGATGACATGGGTTTCCTGATTCATTTAATGGGCAGCGTATTGGTCTTTATAGGATCCTGTTAATTACACTTAATGCCTCAACATCTCACAAACTCGCCTCACCCAGATTTATTGTACTCCTTCCATCACATCATTTAAAAGATAAAATCTTACAATACAATACTGGCAAGTGCACTGGTGGCGTTACTGGTTGCTGTAATCATTCTTTATCTCCATACTGGCCAAAGAGTAACCAATAACACAATGGCATGAAAGTATTGTATTGGGCCATATTCACAACTCATCAGGCATTGCGGAGATTAGCGGGGGTTGTGGGCGGTACCTGTGACAATCGGTTTTTTTATTTTTTTTGTTTTCCTTCTTTTTTTTTTATTCCCCCCCCCCCCCACCCCCCCCGCGTTTGGGGTTTAGGGAAAATGGGAAAAAAAAAAAAAAAAAAAAAAAAAAAAAAAAAAAAAAAAAAAACAAAAATAAAAAAAAAAAAAAAAAAAAAAAAAAAAACAAAAAATTTTTTTTTCCCCCCTCCCAAATTTTTTTTTTTTTTTTTTTTTTTTAAAAATAAAAAATAATTAAAAGAACTGCCTGCATCCAAGCTGTTCCTTAATGTTTCATTATACTTAAAATATCCAAACCTCAAATCTTTTGCGTGGATTATGTTAATAAATTACTCTTATTTGCTTTTTGTTCACAGTGCTTTTGTTGCACTTGCAGTGGCGTGATGAGTGTGCGACTCTCCACCACTCTCTGTATCGCCTGACCACCGGTGGTGGTGTTTCACTGCAGGTGGGACTGAGCACCCTAATATGAATATGTGTGGGCGTATTTGCTGCTCTGTTGAAGAACTGCATCCTTGGTACTGTAGAAAAACGAGTACAGTCAAGTTTTTTTAGAATTTGGGCATTGACTTGGTACCAGTATCGGTTTTTGTGATATCCCTACTTGGGATGTGTTTCTCAAAATTCGATTCAGATTTAACTTTTTGCTGCAAAGCCACTGCGTTTTTCTTTTGGCATGCTCTGCGGCACCCACTCAAATGAATGTTGTTTTTGCCGGAACGCCTGATTTGGTCTGAATATGGCTTCACCGTAAGATTAATCCAGAAAAACGTTCTTTAAGCAAGTAACCTAAAATTATGCCCCAGGAGCTCTAAGAGGAAGTTTGGTCTCTTTTTACGATTGTGTGTTTTCAATTGAACACAACACAGTCTAAAATCACACCCCATTTACTTTATGTTGCTATATTAGATTTACTGTCAGCCATTTTATTTCAGTGTCAACTCCCAACAATGGAACGAAATGGTACTTCATATAAATAATCCCACAATGCAATACCTGGCATTTTATAGACGCAAAAATGAGAAGTTGACTGACACAACACCTCTAGTGACCAAGTGTCCAAAATCAGATTTACTGCTCACTATAATGTAAACTAATGAGTGTGTATTTTATAGGGAGTAGTGATTGAGGGATTTGTTGCACATCGCATGTAGACAAGTCCATCAATGACAGGAACCAGTGAATAATATTAACCTGTTTGTGGAAACAACTAGAACATGCATGGGTAGACAGGGGCTCTGCACACTGACTGGAATCCTCCTCATGCACTGTTGGTAGGAACATGGTGGTGGCAGTTAAGGATTTACTGTGCTCCGACTAATTTAACTGCCACCAGGAGACTCTGTAGTAGCAGCTAGAAGGCGACTATTAGCATTAAACCAAGGCAATATAACGACACTACACTATCACAGTAGCACACATTGCCATGCCTTCCACTTAAGTTCAGTCTCTCTTTTCTTTTTATATTATATTCTCTTACATTTACTGATTTTTTCTCTACAAAAATAACACATTTTACATCTTGGATCTAATAACTACCTGATTCTTTTGTCAAACCGAACGACTGGATCCAGTCACAGCATTGTGCATGAGTGCTACCCACTCTATTATCTTCAAATTGAGCACATACATCTGCACACATCTGGACAGACCCAAAACCTGTGGGTGCATGGCGTCGTCAGTGTTCCTAATGGAGAACACTAGACTTATCTCTTCTTTGACTGTTGCCATTTGGGCTTTCAATGCACAGTTCCAGCCTGGCAAAAGTTGAATTCCAGTTGTTGTTTTTTTGAGAAAAAAGTATGAGCAGGTACCTATAAAATACCTGTTCCAACCCTGGTGCCGTAGACTTTCAGGAGATTGTACTTAGTGATGGACTTCACATCTATGATCTGTCTTTTGACGCACCCCCTGCCCCTCAAGGAGCTGACAGTACAGTAGCTGGGGGTCAAAGTGTGTATGTGTGTATCTTGTGCGTGTTATAAGTAGAAGACAGGAAGGATCACAAGGCTGTCTCTTGAACCGTGTGAGCTGTTAGTTTGCATGAGGGCAGAACGCTCCTTGTCTCCAAGTCTTCGTCCTCTGTTTGTGCTCTGTCGCTTTCTGTCTCTTTGTCCTCTGTGACCGTGTCCTCTTTGCAGTAAGCTGCTCCGTTGCGGTCTCTCTTGGCCATCTGATAAGGCTGTGTGTTGATTTCTTTGGGCTGGTCAACAAGGATAATATTGAAAGCTCGGGTTACGTTAAACAAAAGAGGAAAACACACAGGAGGAGAGGGGGAGAGAGAGAGAGTGTAAATGTGAGGTTACCTTCTGAGCCAGAGGAGTGATGCAGCAGAGCTTCTCTCTGTAACGCTCAGGCAGAAAGAAGAGCAGTGTGCCCAGGACCGGAAACACTGTGCCGGGGGTCAGCTCCTTCTCCTTCATAGGTCCTGATGTTGAAAGATACCATATAACATATTTACCTTTGATCAATTCTGCCTTTAAACGAGTAAGAGTGCTATAAGGTAATCGAACTGACCAGAATAAACCAGAGTGACATCACTCTAATGGAAAATGACATGAAGACAAACTACAGCCTACTACAGTAATATCAGAGTGTATATCATACAGATGTTGCTAATCTGAGAATCTGTTAACATTTGAATGTATTTATTTGGCACACTATAGCAAGCTACCGAAATCTTACTACCTAACATACATGAATATATTAAACCAGTGGTTTCCAACCCTGGGATCAGGGCCCCCACTAGGGGTTGCCAAAGCCTCACACAAGGACCTCTAGATTATAAGGCATGTACGGAAACTTACACAGGATATTCACAGGAAATAATCTGTCCAGTTGCTCTCTACTGTTATTGTTATGCATTGAATATAATATAAAATATCCATAAAATGTGCAATTTAGTCAGGGGTCGTTCAGTCAATGATAGCGAAGGGACCCCTTGAGGAAAAAGGTTGGGAACTGCTGTATTACACAATTGATGAAAAAAGGGTGGCCCTTTCTTTTGGGTGAAAGCTGCTCCCCTAGCGCACATGCTAAAAGAAAGTGATCATAATGTGTGTGCACTAGCGTCTTTATTTGACCAAGTTTGGCCGGCTGCCTACACACATACAGTAACTAACATGAAAATAATAGCTGATGTGACTATTGGCGGCTTTAAAATATAATGGACCTGATAGTTTCAGATATGATAAATCCGTGAATCTCACATACATCTGTATGGGTGTCACATGACCTGTGTTTCCAAGGAATCATTGTTATTTTCACAATTCCTAGTAAAGCAAATTCAGATAGCAGTGACTAATATCATTATTAATGGGCTATAACTGGTTTTGAAGCTGATGCGACAAGTCAAAGTGTGTACCTGTTAGCAGGCTGACTAGCAGGCCCACCACCACCACGGTGGTTGAGTTGTGAGCACTGTACCACATGTAGGACAATGAGTAGAGTGCCTCCACACCTGTCGGCCTGAAGGAAAGAGGTAAGATTAAAGACGCAGTGACAAATTATTTCTTCATAATCTGTTATTACGTGACTGAGCAGCTGCAGTCTCTCTGTGGTGTTCAATGAAAGTACTGGAACCAACACATGAGTATAATGTAAGCTCTTGGGATTCATGTGTTACCTTGGCTTAGCTGCGCTGACCAGTGTAGTCATGACAGTGGTGGTCATGTTGTCGAACAGGGGCAGAGCGGTGGTGTTGAGTGGTGGCAATGGGGTGGGGCCGGGCAGACGCATCACAAAGCTGCCGATGCCGATCCAGAAGGCCATTGCGAGACCTGCTGCTAACCCAACCAATGCACCCTGAGGAGGTAACAGGTGGGTTTGTTTAACAGATCAGAACAAACGTGTAATCATGTTTGTGACTGTGTATCTGTTAGCATATTGAGACAAAGGTATATGGGTAAGGAAAGAGAATCAAATGACAATTTAAATGACTTACTGTAGGGTTTGCCCAGGGAAAGAACATTCCCAGACAGAAGACACCCAGCAGAGGACCACCCACCATCCCAAAGATGCTGAAGGCTGCCTGAGGGCACAGAGGATAGAGAGCATGGCACCTTTTTCAGCTGCTGATAATGTTTCTGCTAGTAACTGTACCGAATGGCTGCATAATAACAAAAAACTACAGCTGACTTTTCTAACTAAAAATAACCATGTTTTTACTACATATTTCCTTACAAACATTTTATAATGTTTAAATTAAATAACTTCTCTTCACGTGCAACTCAAAGCAATGGTTTGCTACCTGCAGCACAGATCCCATTAGAGAGGCGAGATAGGCCATAGCCAGACACACCAGGCCGTACACCAAAGCTGTGGACCAAGCAGATGACAAAGAAATATTTATTAGTCACACCTGCTACAGCTGCCAACTTACTGTTGGCAGCAAGTTATATACTACACTCAGTTTGTTCAAGTGTGTACTAAATTAAGCAGCATTAATCAAGTACTGCTTGTTTTTAATCACAGTATGCTTTGCACACTACAGATTTCATATCAAGTTTTTAAGAAAGTCCTGTATCTAGAGCCCCTTTTCCCCGGAAAAAAACCCCACAAAAATTGGTTTTTTTTTTTTGGGGGAAAAAAAAAAAAAAAATTTTTTTTTTCTTTTTTAAAAAATCTTAAAAAAAAAATTAATTTTTGGCCTAAAAAATAAAAAAGGAAAAAAAAAAAAAACCCCCAAAAAAACTATTGCCCCTTTTCCACTTGATTTAGTTCTACTTATTAGGTAGGTGGTTTATAGGGGACGGGCTGGCACTTTGTCCAGTGCTGGCACAGTCTGCTTATCAACAAATAATAAATTTGAAAAAACAGAAAAGAAGGGACAACTAGGGCTGGGCGATATGGCTTAAAAATAAAATCTCAGATTTTTTCACACCAAACCCGATTTACGATTTATTTATTTTTTAGCGGGTGTTTGTGGGCTGCGGTCCTGTATATCTCGCAGAGAGCAACATTTCTCCTGCTCGGCTGCATGCCTCTGCTTGAGGTGCTGGAATAAATTCGTCGTACTGCTACTTTTGGTTGCAACAGCTTTCAAACAAACTTAGCAGTGGGTCGTGGTTTGTTCGCTGTTGGACGCCACAAAATCAAACCAGTTCCAAACAACCGACGACACTGTGCCTTTTTTGGGGACGAGCTCATCCTGGCTTGCTGCCATGTTGTGTTTATCTGTGGAGAGGCGGGGGAGGGGTCAGCGCACTCTGACCTACGGGAGCCCAAAGGGAGTGCCGGTGTTGTGGAAGTTCAAGAGAAAACCGATTTTAACTAAAAATAAATCGTGTTTAACTACAAATTCGAATTAATCGATAAAATCGATTTCTTGCCCAGCCCTAGGGACAACCTTAACTTAGTGTGAAACTAGTCAACAGCCATTTGTCAAAACCTGCATATGTACCCAAATCAATGGTGGAAATATACAATTTGAGGAAGAAAAACAATTAAAGCACTTGTCTTACCAAGTCCCTTGGACAGCAGCGTGGCTTTAGCTTCTGTCATGTTTGGAAAGTGTGGTTTAATCAGGTCCTCCATGGTAACTGTTGCTAGGGAGTTGAAGGCTGAGGAGATGGTGCTGGAGGAAGACAGAAAAATGGGATTGAGTGGGACTCTGTAATACATTACATGGTTATCTGTGCAGCACAGGCCTTTAGGACAGAGCATGGAGGCCGTAGTTATCAGGAACTTTCTGAAAGCAATAGATGCCATAAATCATTTCATGTCCAGCTGATGGTGGAAATGCACTCTAGGGCAACACAGTGAGATTTCCCATTACATTTCAAAAGGAGGAGAGACTCACTAATAGATTTTACCAATAATTTATGACTTCATATTTATCACCTCTTGTTGCATAGAGCAGGGATTACTTAATGTGTGCCAAAGTCATAAAACAGATTAAAAGAGTATAATTAAGTGTAAAACCATCAAATTAGGGATGCACTCAAATTAGGGAATGATTTGGGAAACTGTCATGGTTGATGCCATGTTGTGCTAAAAGTGGAATGAGGAGAAAAAAATAATTGGTTTTAATATATAAAAAAAATATTCTGCTATTGATAAATGTATAAATTCTGGGTGCCTGGATAGCTCAGTGGGTAGAGCTGGCGACCCACGTGCAGTGGCTCAGGGTTTGAATCCAACCTACGGCCCTTTGCTGGGTGTTCCCCTTTCTCTCTGCCCCGCTTTCCTGTCTGCCTTCAGAGGTCACTATAATAAAGGCAATAAAAGCCCAAAAATAATACTTTAAAAAAAGAAATGTGTAATTTCTGTGAAAGCTTTTAAAATCTGCACTAACTACAAAACTGACCTAAAAGCCAAAAACACAGAATCTGCACTTTGGCTGTGTAGTTTCTGCACTCAACACTCAACTGCACTCTCTCTATGTCGTAGAAAGCAAAATGGCTGTATCAAGTGAAAGCCTCTGAGATAGCAGCATCTGCATTCTTTTATGTATTGTGTGCGTTCTATAGGGAAAAAATGGGGTAAAAAATAATCCTAAAGAGTGGTAAAATGAAGGCATTCTATCAGTACCAACCCTGTTTTACAGTCAGATTCAGATTCTCTGTTCCTATAGTTACTGCTCTTTGCCTTTGATACTTTGATACTCGGCACATAAAATAATCTAGTCTGTCAAACAGGCATGTTATTGCTAGGGTTTATTTTTTTATTGACTGGGATGATACCAAATATTATAAATTCCTCTGATAAACTAAACAACCAAACAATATGCTGTGAAGAATTCAATTCAATTCAATTTTATTTGTATAGCTCCAATTCATAACAGAAGTTATCTCAGGACACTTTTCAAATAGAGCAGGTCTAGACCGAACTCTTTAACATTAGAACCAGGTAGAAGTTTAACAAGTTGTGAATCAGCTTCACTGTTATAATCAAGTTGTCCTCCAACAACCTGGTGACTGACTGCGAGCAAGCTTTCAACAGCAGATGATCCTTTACTTTGTCCGTTTTCTAAGGTCATTTACCTGAGAGCTCCACTGAAGAGACAGGCCACAAACAGTCCTGCGAGCCCGGGCAAATCTTTGAACACATCCATCACAAAGTACAGCACCATCTGCACAAAGAAACTAAACATGAGGATGCACCTCCAGACTCAAGAATAACAAAAACGCTGTACATTCACTCCAGTCTGGGGAACCATAGAGGCAAATGAGTGTTTACCTGGTCATTAGTTTTGACATAGCCCTTGTCCAGAGGGCTGTTCTCTCCATAGCGAGCAAACATGACCAAACCCATCAGACAGCCTAAACTCAAGACAATCTGCTGGCACGGGAAAACTACGTAGCAGGACCTGGGAGGTGACAACAAACATGGTTATAAAATGTTTAGGGCCACAAAAATGGACAACAATGGAGACAAGACAACAGCCAGTACATATGAAAAGTAAGGCTTCAAAGGAAAGCATTAATAGAAATACTGTAGAGTGCTTAAGACAATAGCTACAATTTAACAGCATCTTAAAGTCCCCTCCAGTCAGAAATCAATGTTTCTTCTTGTTCCTACAGTGTGCTGTTTAAATGCTTAAATGCAGAGTTTGACACTAGAAGGATGTTTTCACATTCATCTGCTGAAAGTGGAAAGTTTCTCTGTGCTCACTGAACATCTGATTTTTAAGGGGCGTGGCCTACCAGCAGGATTTGTGACATCACAAATAGTTTGGAAGCCACTGCTGGTCCAGTATGCAACTTCTAGTGCAATCCACAAGTGCACATCCACTGAGAAGCATGATGATTTGCATTTTCATAGATTCTGGAATTTTAAATGAGGTAAAAGGAGGAGATGCCTTTTTATGCCTATTTGTATGAATGTTTCAATATGTGTCTGGAGAGTGTTTTTCACTTAATATAATATACTCCATGATCAAAAACACAAGTCTCTACATTGAGTTATTTTAATTTGAGTTAAATAGCAAGGGTGAGCCAAGCATGTTGTGAGACATTGGTGGTACTCACATGATGGCCTCTTTCTCCGTGCGAGAACTGAGGTATCTCTGGACCTGGGCCTGGTTGACCCCGTACAGAGCCAACATCAGGAAGACTCCTCCCACACCCAGCGTCCAGAAAGTATGACGCTCCAGAGGGTCGGGGTTCAGGCTACACAGGCAGAGAGAGAACATGTGAATCCAATCATTTGGTAACAAGGAATACTTCATTATTCTGCACTTGAGATATGTGGACTACTCACTCTAGTCCAGATATGCGGCTGCCATTGACTGCTTTCCTCCACACCTCTGCCATGCCCCCTGCCTGACTGGCCCCCACCACGATGACCGCTAGCTGTCCCGCAAACATAACCACTGTCTGGAACACGTCGGTCCAGATCACTGCCTTCAGACCCCCCTAGGACACAAAAGCAGTCGGTTGACTTTACGTTTCATAATGATCCACATTAAAATCTGTAAAGGTGTGCTCTGACATATGGGCAAAAAATGGAAGTAGTTGCATCCATGTTCCTATAATAACCTGAGATTATGGTAGAAAAAAAGAAAATCTGAGCTAAGAGAAACTGATGAAAAGTACTGTAGTGTTTATCCATCTTTTATTTTACATTTTTAATTTGGTAAAATACAAATATATTATATTATATAGTTTGAAATGGTTAATCTTCATTTAGTTGTTTAGATGTCAAATATTTTGTCACAGTTGTCATTGATGGGGAAGATTTAAGGACTCACCAGAGCAGTATATAAAGTGCACACCAATCCCATGGCCAGCACTGCCCCCCATAGGTCAAAACCTGTCACTGCACATAAACAGAGTGAGAGCATTACCAAACACCGTCCAGGTGAACATTATAGAACTATAAAATGTGCTGTATTCACAGCCATTAGTAACTGGGGGCCCCTGTTGGGGTGCAGCAAATACCTGCATTGAGTGCCAAGGCAGGAGCATACAGGACCACCCCCATATAAATTACCTGCAGAAACGGGGGGGCATAAGGACAGAGAGAGAGAGAAACTGTGAAGCCAGAAGACTCCCAAAAACAGCTGAACTCAGAGGTCATGTTTTGGAGCTAGATTAATACCCTGCTTAACTGTAAAAACATTCTGTGACTTTAAAGTGGTCGGCATTTCCAGAAACCAACTTCAGAGAAAGAGATGTTTGGTTGAACAGATCTAACTGTGACCCTGGGATGGGGTATAATAAAACAACAGTGTTTACACAATTAAACTTGCCTTTTCATCAGCAAATTATGATGCCTTGTAAAACTCAATTTTAGGGGAATTGACTATTCTATTTATTTGCTTTTGCCATGTCATCAAGTCATAACTGAACACTGTTATTGCTTTCATGGGAGAAAAACTTAGATGCTGTTAACCTCATAAAGGAAACAAAAACCATAATAGAAATTTTATGAGGGTCAATGTGACATTTCCAGGGCCTTAGTTTCGGTCAGGCTGTACTATAATTGGCCAATGAGTGGCATTTTTAACTGTTATTTTTAAACTATCTGTTTCACATCCAACCATGGCTCTCCATAAACAAAACATGTTCTTGATTTCTAATGAAATAACTGCTGATGGCTTGAGCTGAAACAAATGATGAACACCAAGCTGATAGAGGTAGAGATGCATAAGACTGTTATTGTAGCTTAGATTACTACTTACTATCTCTCCAGTGGCTATAGTTGCTAACTTGCAATAATACTAAGTAGCAATTTAGGTGAGATTATGTCAGCGGTGGCGGTCATTTTATCAAAATTTGTACCAATTGGATTCCTGATTCCTTCAAGTATATATTAATATATTAATGACCTGCAGAAGAGGAGGGAAAAAAACACATTGACAGAGCTGAACTCAGAGGTCATGTTTTGGAGCTAGCTGACTCACAGAAACTAATGTATAAATAAAAGTATGACGAAGACAAAGATACCATCTGAAAGATGAAGGTCACAGTCCCACATATGCGAACCGTCTTGTTAAAGCGTAGCTCCAGATACTGTTGAGGGGAGAGAATGTCAAAAGAAAAAAAAAAAGAATAAACAAAATCAAAAGGCTGAAAATATCATCTCAGAGTCAGTCTGTGATATGTAGTATGTTTATTCTCAGGATCAATTTAGAGCCACATCAAATCAACTCAGTCTTTGTTCACAGGACACTGCTGCAGCACTGTTCTCTGGAAAATGATTCATCAGTTTAAAGAGAGAAACTAGATAACCACCCTTTAAAAGATGTCCAGTCTTGAGATGAGAACATTTCTTTCTGTTGAACGTTAACACGTCAAGGATAAGCATAAAAGAGGACTGATAAGAATGTGAAGCTCTGAGATCATACTTGAGAAAGACAAAGCTGGGAGAAGCAGGACAAAAGTGTTGACACAGAAAAAGAGACAGAGGAAAGAGTTATAATTAATCTTTTATAAAAAAGTTTATAATTAAGGAATGTTTAAGAAAATACATTAACAGGTCTAAAGTGCACCACAGTGATACAGCCATGTGATACTGTGTGTGCATGCAGTTTGTACCTCATAGGCGCTTGACAACCTCAATCTGTAGAAGACTGGTATGAAAATGTGAGCTGGGATGAGCAGGCCCAAAAAGTAGGAGCAGCCCAAGAACCAGTACTGAGTCCCAAAGGTGTACACCTCAGATGGAGCTCCCAGGATGGCCACCGCCGACTGGAAAGTAGCCAGCAGGGACAGAGACACTGGCAGGCAGCTCATGGAGCGGTCAGCCATCAGGAACTCCTATAACAGAAATTTTGTGACCCATGAAACCTTGAAATTGACCCTGTAGACTTAAAGGGTGTAAAATGAAAGTAAGGGAAGAAATCTATACTTAAACACCAATGCCTACCTGCGTTGTGCGCTGGCGCCCACCGGAGAAGGCGTAGAAGAGGCCGATGCCAGCTGAGGCTACCAACAGCAAGGCAAAGATGACATAGTCCACCGTGGTGAAGTGCATTTGGACTACCTCCCCCATGATGGCGCGGGATGTAGGGAGGGGTAAAGGCTGTTGGAAGCACGGCCTCTGGGGCTGATCACAACGTTGAAGGAAGTGCTTCACCCATAGACAGACTCACTGAGGGCTGCGTCAAGGAAAACAAGGAGAATTTAATTGAAGTCAACATGCGTTTTATAATAAACTGTAAGTTTAAAAAACTTAGAGCAAGAGTAATGTGTTTTATCTTGACCAGAACTTTATATGAACACAGGTGTTATTATTATGGAAGCAGCAATAAAACCTATTTCAAGAGCACTGTATTAAATGCATCACTGCCAGCTGTAATTTGCAACAGCAGAATCACACCTAAGTTACGTGGTGGATGAGGATGATACACTAGCTAATAATTGTGGGTCATTACAGTATGGAATTGAATTACTATAGTGAGAGCTAAATTTGTCAAGTCTAAAGGACAGCTAAAAGAGGACAGAGTCATAACAAGTGTTATGGATACATTTACACAGTTTCAAATTTAACCAAAGATCTGCATGAGGTTGTCTGTAAACTGTGTTCTTTGTAATGTTTCAATTACACACACACACACACACACACACACACACACACACACACACACACACACACACACACACACACACAGTTTCCAAACTGCTCTCGTATGATGTACCCCCACAGCCCTATCAGATGAGCTAAAATACACCTTCATCAACACCACCCACCACCGCCGTTGCGATATAGGGGTTACGATTCAATCTATTATTTATTGCTTTTTGTTTTCCAACCAGCACAGTGGGATCTCCATCGCATTACAGTCCCTGCAACATCCAACATCATGGCCCTCAGTTTAAGCTTACAACACTGCTATCTAGTGGCTGAGGGGGTTAAACACAAAAATTGATACATTATTTTTGAGAATCAATAATATCCCAAAACAAAATATTGCGATACTCAAGTTCATCTAAATGTTGTTACTCCCCTATTAAGCAATTAGCAATAAGCAATTCTAGAATTATTGATTGATTATCTTTTTTTCAGTAGGTTTGGTCAAGTTTGTATTTGTACTAGCACCAATTATAATGGCTAAAGCTGGACTATTTAAACAATCTCTATTACATGTAACTTTCTATTTCAGCTTCTCTGCTTACTTGCCAGAGAGCTTCCATGCACTCCTAATCACAGTAGGTGGTATCCAGATGTTGGTGTTTGTTGAAATGTATTTATATAATATAAAATAAATCAAGGTTGAGTAGGTCATGGTAGGGGTACAACACTAGTGTTATTTTGAGTCATGAAAAACCCTGAGGACGTCCGACAGAAAAGTACAAGGATTGCATTAGAGATGAGATGGAGAGAGACGGAGAGGTGCTGAAGAGGGAGAGGGCAATACGAAACTGTCAGTATGTGTTACAGAATGGCTGCATGAAAGTGAGGAAATATATTTTGTACTAGAGAAGCAAAGTCACACTTCTATCTAATCTGAAACAAGTCTGGTTTTGACACTGCTGTAACAAAGACACCTGGGAATTTGTCTTGTATAGTAAATAACATTTTCTAGGCACACTGTAAATGGGTGATGGAAGTGTAGGGATAGGATGTGTATCAGGGCAGAATGACCCCATAGCCCCAAATACAAAAAAAGCTCCACTGATAATCTGTTAAAAAACTACAAAATTAAGTCTAATACACTAGAGCGATTAAAAAAAACCAAATGTACCATTTGTAAAATTAAATATTCTGGCAGTAAAATAGAAGCTTTCACACACATACTCATGAAAAACACACACTTTATGTAATCTACTTCTAACAGTCACAAATAGGACTACATTATGTTTGTGTCTGACCTGCAGCTGGACAAAACAACCTTATAATTAATAAATGCAAAGTTGACCAGCAAAAGAGTCTTACATGGAGTCCGGGTTTGAATATGACAAAAAAAGCTACAAGAAAAACAGCAAAGGACTTACTGTACCTACTGAGATCAAGCTGGTGCTGGCTGGCTGGCACACACACACACACTGGCCACTCAGTCTTAAGGCTCACTGTAGTTGAGTATCTTTGTCACAACCTCCAATCACCATCACTGTGGAGACAGAAGAGAAACTGAGCAAAATAAATCAGGCAAGAAATGCATGAGAAAAAGGACCATCACAATATTGTTACAAATGATTTCATACCTGGGTTATGTTCTCCAAACACTGCTGTTTCTTTTCTTTTGGGCACAGATCATTTTAGCCAAACAAAACCCAACCCCTTGTTATATTTTTAAGAGATACGTAACCGTGTTCTTTTACAGTTTGCACTTTAGGGGGCATATTTTTCTTTTGAGTACAAGTTTTTAGTTTCTTGCTGTGCTCATCTAAAAAGACCTCTCATATTGCACTACACACAAGACCACCTCCTCTTTCACAGTGTGCGGTGCTGCGCTGCAGGCTCCACTTATGATGAGGAAGAGCAAAGGGACAGCTGACTGGAGAGAGGTGAGGTGAGAATGAAATGAGGTTAAAAAGGACAGCAGGCAAAGGGAATGAGAAGAGGAGAGCGTTGTGCAGCAAAAGATAATTGGAAAGGAAAAAGAAATTATGGAAAAACATTAGGTGGGTAGAATCATGTGATCAAAGATTAGCTGTGTGTGAGCACAAAACAGATTATGTGTGCCTACAGGGGTTGGAATAAAGAAATACCTACGCACTATCAAAGCATTTGGTTTAGGACACATTGTGAATTGCATTAGTTTACAGTTAACAGCTGAGGCTGAGCTTGAACTGAAGTAAAGTCGCTATAGCCTGACCAATGACTTTTTGAAGCCAGATACAGATATTAAGAGTTAGGAATTAGATCATATTTAAATCCCAAATGATTTTCTCAGGCTAGCCAATACTGGCTGAGATATGCTCATACTGGAACATATTTGATACATTTCTAGTGAAACATTTCTGTACTTCAGAAGGTGACTTGCTAGAATTGCTAGAGGGGATTTTGGTAAATCTGGTAAGAAACTATGTATGGGCATGAGTACTCTATTTGGATAGCAGTATTTTCTCGACATATAAAGTACTTGCATTTTCCTACATAGAAATAATGAGAGATCTGGACTTGGACTTCATCAGTCATAATCAAATTCATATTACAACCTACTAACTTTAATTTTACAGCAAAGACAGATAACAGGCAATCACCTTATTTGCTAGCAGTATTAGCATACACCGCTGTGATGCCACCAGGGCAGAGAAGATTAGCCAGCTCGTCACGAAAATGGTGACTGGAGGTATGCTCCCGTTACGCTTTGTGGAAGGGGAAGGCTTCTGTGAGCGGATGGCCTTTGTTGAGCAGTGTATAGGCTATCATTGCAGTGAATCTCTACAGTCTGTGCAGTGCAGAAAGGTTTTTCACTTGGATGTTCACTTTGGTCCAGACTGTTATGTTACATTTTTAACATGCTCAGGTACTATGTAACAATTTAATGCGAGTACTTTCACACATATAGCTGTTCTTCAGAGAGACACTTCACTAGCCATCTTCACAGCTGGCAGCTGTAAATGGCAGTAAAGGGCAACTGTTTCACATGACAAGAGGTAAAAGATCTATGGAGTATCACTGAGTGCTTGGCTGTTGCCATTCTGGCAACTTCTATGGGTCAGAAAACTTTGTCTCTGTGGTAACCAAAGAACAACTCAGCAAGGATTTGCATGTGTTAGCCGGTGAGTGTGTGAGATTATACCTGTATGTGTGTTCATCAAACATCAGTAGTGTTCTGTACTGACAGGCCTGTCTGTGTAATACTCATGCTGGTTTGATCAAGCCCTGGCCAAGACATATGACCAAATGAAATCCCACTCTTATCATTATGGCTTAACATGTCTAATCTACCTGAGTATGACTGGTTGGGAAGAGAAGGAACAGCCAGTGTAATTCAAAAGCACCCATCACGTGGATGTGGCAACCGATACAATGTAGCTCTTTAACTACTGAAGTGAAGTGAACTGAAGTCTGTAACCAGAATGCAACCTCATTTATTATAAAAATCCATTGCTACTATAAATTAGTATCAGAATCAATGCACCACAATTCAAGGCACACTAAGAACAGTATTTAAAATACCTTAATATTTGCTGCAGTGCCCTGTCTGGAAGATGTATAATGGGCACCTTGGTTTGCTGTTTCACAGAAAGCTTTCCTGTTGTCGAGTTACACGATTGGAGTGGACAGCCTTTTGTTGCACTGCTGGGCAGCCACAATAAAACCCCTACTGTTAAGATGCCATACTAAAATGGGCAGCATTGATGTGGAAAAAATGCATTAAAACCTGACAAGTTACAAAGGGCATTGGATTAAAATCCCTCCAGTGCTTAAAACACAAGCCCAGCATCTGCACAGTGTGTGGTAGGTGGAAAATTAGTAAGGTAAAGCTACTTAAAATGCCAAACTGACTTGTGCATGTGCAGTTAAGGTGCAGCAGCAGAATTAAGATACACAAATATTTTGAAGGTTGATCAATAGTATCTGAGTAATACTTAATTTAAAGCCAAAACAAGAACAACAAAGTTCACCTATCTCAAATGGACACCACTTTTTAAGCTTTTAAATCAAAGCCAAGGTAATCTATTGGGTAAAACACAAACCTCTGCACAATGTATACAGAGTAATGTAGCACCATTTTCAACATGTGGAATGCTGGTAATGTATGAACGAACTGTAAACATTAATAAATAAACAGTCCAACCTAAAACAACAGTAAAGCTCTTTAGAAAATCATTCACAGTGAAATCAGAGATAACTGCCATTTCTGCCTGGTCTTAAATTACTCAAATGGTTGTATTTGACGGAGAACACATGATTGGCTGACAGCTTCTACCTAGATTGGTTTGGGCTGTTCAGTACTGTTTTCACACCTTTCGTCCCTCAAAACATTCATTCAAATCCTGACATACAAAGCTGAGAGAGCGGTCTGAAATTAGTTTCCTTTCAGGAAAGGTGAAAGGGTGGACTGCCCTTTCTCACAGTCAGACCTCAGAGCAACTGACCTTTACAGCACAGACATTCTAATAGTAGCTTTGCCAAGCCAACAGTCTCCTAAAATACAGGCTATTCCCACTACATGACTTGCTATGGGAATAGGACACTGAACTGTAGATATTTAGAGAAACACAATGTATTCACCTTGGCTATCTGTTATAATGCTGTGTGGGCCTTGGAGCGCTCACTTCATGTTGCCTCTGACAGGATACTCAACAGTAACCCCACAGGCTACTTCAATCTGAATAGTGTACACTTAATGGCTTACTGCAATAGACAATACTGAATGTTCAATACGAAGGAACATGGCTCACAGCAAGCAATTTGCTTCTGCACCAGTTGGCCGAGGCCTATTTCACTAGAAATGTGCTTTTCCACCACAAGTCCATGTACAGTACTGCTTGTATTTTGGCCGTTTTCAGTCATTTTTGAGAAGAAATTTCCCCAATTCTCTGATTTCAGCTTCTCAAATGTGAATATTGTCTGCTTTCTTTAGTCCTCTGATAGTAAACTGAATATCTTTGACATTTGAGGACGTCACCTTGGGCCTTGGTAAACTCAGATCAACAATTAATAACTAATCAATTAATCAAGAACATGGTTGATATATTAATTGATTATGAAAATAATCACAAAGATGGGTGGTGGTGGTGTCATGAGCGTCACAAAACACAAATCACACAAGGAGGTCAGGAGGCCGTGGTTGCCTGGCAACACAGGGACAATGATTAGACATTACATGAGGTAGACAGAACTGAGCTGGTGGCATTGGTGCTTTCATCCCCACACCCACGTTGTGCGTAAATGGTGGAAAACAAACAGGAGACCTACTGTTTGATGAAGAGAGCGGGTAGAGCATGGGAAGGGTTGCAGCTGCACAGGACACACTGATGAATGAGACCAGTGCTTCATACAGTCCTATCAAGGTAGTTCAAAGCAAACCGCACATTTTCATTCTCCTCATCAGACATCCAGACCAAACACTGGGCAATCAACCGGATATTAACAGGCACTAAAAGGGGCAAAACAGAGAAATACCACCAGATGTCTTCTTATTGTCCTTGACAGGAAGATAATCAGTCTCATTCTTTATCAGTGTGTGCCTTTTTATATAATCAAAACAGCAGTCTCATCTTATTTCACAAGGTCACTTTGATAAAACACGGTGCAATGTCTCCTTCCCAAATGCTTTTCATACATTTCATTTCCACTTCTCTGGATATGGCATATTTAAGTCTACAGTCTACAGTCGAGTGAGAATATCTCTGAGGCTGTACTTTGGCACCTCGGAACTTCTGAGCTAAAAGCTAATGCATGCTAACAAGCTCACAATGCTAACATACTGATGTTTAGCAGGTACAATGTTTACCATGTTCACCCTCTTAGTTTATCGCATTAGCGATTAAATACATTTCTTATAAAGCAGACATGTCACCTTTGTGTTTGTTGAATTTTGCTTTTGACTGTGGAATGGGCTCATTGTTGCCATTCAGGGACAAAAAACAACACTATGGGTGTACAATATGGATTTCTTTTTTCATATGATAACCAATAATTACTTGCTTCTCATGGCCAATACCGATAATTTCAAACTTTTCTGTATTTCAAAATACACGTTGATTATGTTGTTTGTAGCACACCTGAGGGTAAGAAAGGCTATGATGTAGTGAGTAATAATGGATGATTTAAAAGGATCAGTGTGTAGGATTTAGTAGCATCTAGCAATGGAGTTGCAGACTGCAACTAACGGAAAACCACTCCCGTCTGTATTTGGCGAGATGGGAATGAGAAGAGGCTGTGAAGTGCGTAGAAAAACTACTGTGGCCTCAAAACTCCCAAAAGTCCCTATGTACACCCAGTGTTTGGTTCGTCCATTCAACACAGTGGACTCCATGGAAAGCGGCGTCCTTCCACAGATTATTTTTAGGTGATTAACCACTAATGGAAACATAGTTTTGAATATTATTTTCTATTTCTGCCAATAGATCCTCCTAAATGTTCTTTAATATTCCATAGCTCTGTCAATTATTATTAGAAAGTCTTATTGCAGTGGGGAGGAACGGTTTTCTATATCGTTCCTTAGAGCAGCGGGGATGAATGAGTCTGTTGCTGAAGCTGCTCTTTAGCTTGTCCAGTGTTGTGTGGAGGGGGTGGGTGGGATTGTCCATGATTGCCAGCAGTTTTGCCAGTATCCTCTCCTCCACCACCTCCACCAGGGTGACAAGCTTAGAGCCAACATTTAATTGCCTTTAAATAGATAGTGACAGCTAAAGATAGACAGGAAAGGGGGAGAGAGAGTGGGGACAACACACAGCAAAAGGCCCACAGGTCAGATTCAAAGCTAGGGCCGCGAGCCAGGACTCAGCCATGGTACACGGACTGCCAGCTCTACCAGGTGAGTCAAGGTGAGATTATTCAAACAGTATTTTCAGTTTTACAAGAGATACTATAACAAGGATTTTATTATCCCCACCCAGGACCACCTTCCACACAGTGAATGTGACAGCTAGTAGGTTGTTAACATTCTCTCGAATACCACTTTGATTTAGAGAATATGTTGGTTTTTAAAAAAGCTGAGTAGTCAGATGAAACAGATATTGTGGGTTGAGCCACAAGCATATTACCGACTACATATAATACACCTGTATGCACTCTGCATGCTTACTCACAAGCACAGCTGGTTTACGGTCATCATCTTTGGAATATGCGCACCCATGGGCCCCAGCTCTGCTCGTGTCTCAGCGACCCAAAAGGCCAATAATGAGTAATCATTAAACCTTCAGTTGAACCCTGGCCTGCTCTGTAAAATACCTACAACACCACCGACTGTGGGACGAGAGGCAGAAAAACTGGCATCACAATTTGTTTTCATAATCAGCAAAGATAAAGAACCACTGACAAGTGAAATATAATATCACCACCACTGATGAATGCGCTATCATCAGTTCTAAAGACTGCTGCGAATCAAGAAATGCAATGGGCTGTTGCATTGAAGGCTGATCATACTGAACAAAACGTGACATAAACACTGTTAGTTCTTTGTGACAACTGTTAACGCAAAACCAGATAATACAGAATGAGAATGGCATCTGGCTGAAGCTTGTGTGTAATCATTAGCCTGCAGACAGCGTGATAGCTCCTCATCGCAGATAACTGGAGATCAGTTAGGCCGTCACTAGACAATCAGACAAAATTCACTTCAGAGTAACCTCTGGGAAGGTGCAACACTGTGTGTACCAGTGTCAGTAAATCTGCTCAACCAAAATGAGTGTAACATTAACTGCCTTTTATTCACATCTATCCTTAAATCTATAAGATGCAAAAACCTCAGTGCACCCTGAAATAAGATTCTTCATATAAACTACTGAGTGTTAATTCAAGAATGGTAAAAATGTGTCAATGTCAGAGTTGAATGAGACAGACCACAGAACAGGATTGTTTGAGACATTACAAACGCTGTCCAACTTTGCCTAAAAGACCTTACTGTGTGCGCCAGGGAAATGTGATTGTACCAAGGCCAATGCAGTCTTTAGAGTGGGGCAGATCTGAGCACTTTGCTCCATGTTCTGCCTCACCAAAACAATGAATATAGTGACAGTATCAGTTGTCAAGTGATTTTTGTTAAAGCGCAAGCAGCCACCAAATGGCAGAAATACTTTTCAGACATCCAGTGTCTCTATCTGTTCTCCATAAACAACATCTACATCATATTTCATTACACTGATGCAAACATTTTGTAAAATCATTTTTCACAGCAGCCATTTTGACATGCAATAGTAGGGTAAACACAGGTGTTACCAGTGATACTAATTGAGGTCGTGTTCCATTCAGGTCAAACAGAGTCAGGGTGCTGTTGAGCATGTTGGCTCACTGGAAAGGCTTTACTACAATAAATGGAACAGAACTACTGCTACTATTTCATGTCAAAATGGCTGCTGTGGAAAAGGGTCTATATTGCCATAAAGCAGTTTTGGTCACTGATTTACAATATTACCTGCAATACAACCAGACATATAAAGAGAGACTCACCTTTAAACAGTGTAGCCAAAATTTCTATCGTCCCACTGTATCCCAAACCGCATATTCTGATATGACTAATGGTGCTTATTGTAATGCAGCAGCCTGAAATACTGGTTTCTGGCGCTGATACTGACTGTATTAATTTCATAGACTTTTAAAGTGAGAAAAGAAAGAGTTTATAGTTTACATTTACAGTTATTACTATGGGTGTGACAAAATGTCCAAAAGTATTGTATATATTTTATTTTGTGATATTCTATTGATTCCCAAAAACACCACGATATATTTGTGTTTAAACCCCCAACCGCTACATAGATAAATACAAATGCAGAACCCACTGTTCTGGTTGCATGAAAAAAAACGTACGCTTTTCAGCCCTTTCTTTAAAAAACTTGATAGAAAGGAAAGGGAGAAGAGAGAGAGGGGACGACATGCAGAAAAAGGCCAAAGGTTGGAATCAAACCTGGACTGCTGGGGTGAGGACTTCAGCCTCAGTACATGGCCCGCAGGCTCTACCAAGGTGCCCCAAATACTGTTTTTACTCACATTTTATGCATATGGTGGTTGGATTTTTAAAAATTGCAATATATCACAATATATTGAATCGTTATTCTGCACATGATGCGTATTGTATCTTCAAATTCCTGCCAATACACATTCCCTAGTTATTACTTTATTATTATCTCAGATACATTTTTATTAATCATCTCAGTCTGTCAGACTTATTGAGTCCTTAAATGCAGCACCTCTAGCGAGATTAAACAGGTTTCACCAAACCAAGAGGTCAATATTGGCTTTACAAGGGCAGGGTAACGATATATTGGTGAATTACTAACCGCTTACCGTACTGTCCCTAAAGGTCAGACGACAGCCCCAACACAAGTTAAGTCACAAGCTAACGCTACGTACATATAAATTCGTATTGCAACACTGCAATGTTAACACAGACAGACGTGCTGTGGATTCGGCTAATAAGTCCCCACACGCTCCGACAAGTCATTCATTTCAGCTAGCCAAACCGTCTGGCTAATGTTTGTTAACGGCTTGCTGCAGTAAACGCACCAGTGAGAGACATTGCCAAGCTGTTGTGTTACCAATACCGCTCCACTATGTAACGTTACTACCTAAACTAAAGAGACGGCAACCAGAAAGAAGCCGCGCACAGACCTGCCCGATATTTCACTGTGCGTCCACATGGTCCTGTTGCCCAATCAGCCAAACTTTCTTCTGTACCGCGTGTACCACCGTGAAATACCCGGCAACCCCCGAGCCCTCACTGACGACGACATTCAAAAAGCCCTTTCACATAAACCATGTTTAAATTTAGTCATTAGCTAAACGGGCTTACCTTTGACGCGCTGCCAAAATACTGAAGCCACGGTACACCTCTTCACTAGCATCTGTTCGGCCGGTCAGGCGCTGACAGACCGCCCATTCTCCTTGACACTAGGGTGCTGCTGCGTTCACGTGCTCCTCGTAAATAAGAAACGCATACTCAATACAAGACAAATGTTGTGCTTTGAGATCATCGACGCAACGTTATATCGTTGATCACTTCGTTTTAGTTTTAAATGCGTACATAGTCCCTGTAATAAAGGTTATTAGTGGTTGTGGGTTTGTTTAAGCCCTGCCATTATGTGAGATAGAAAGGAGAGGATTCACATCAAACACGCAAGTCACTATACAATACTGCCACTGTCATCACTGCATATGTTGTAACATTATTTAACGCTGCTTCAACGCGCCATATTTTCTGCCCTCATCCGTCGCATTTTCCAAACCCTTACAATTACGAACTTTCCGATATTTATGAAGGCAACACAACACGTGCTCTGGCGCTCGGAGATATCTTTAATTTGTATTGATTTGAGAGCACAAGTTTTCCATTTGGAACAAAGTTAACCGGAATTAAATTGTAAAGTATTTGAGGGTGACACAAAGGCATAACGGCTGTGTAACTGTCTAAATGATTTCCGCAATGTTTTGTGTGTTGCTGTGAAACAGGATGACATCGAGAGGAAAGGACGCGGTCCAACGTTCACCGTGACGCCGGGCCTGCAACCGCTGCTGCGCTGGAGGCTGGGAAAATCGTCGTCATGGTAATTAATTACCATGGCAATGACCGCTGATTGAATCTATAGATATGATGACAGTATGCCTCACTCACCAAGCACAGTAACGCACACGCACGGTTTCTTACCTGTTCTCTTCAACGGCGATAGCAAACGTGAGTACATTTTGTCAGGAAAGTCCTCGATTGCATCCATGCCGGCCAGTGACACATATTCACATCGAGTTTAGGGAACACATCAGTGACATTCAAGAAACGTTCCCGACGCCGTCCTCCATTTCTCCCAGTGCGCATTCGTGAAAGCGCAGCTGCATAGGTTACCACATCTCTGTCCCCTCCTCCGGCTGGTGACTCATGTGTCTCATTGAATTAATAGTGACACTAGTGGAACACCGGGGGGGTATTTACTCACTGGTTTAATCTCTTAGCCTAAAAAGATTTGATTATTAATAAAGCTATTCATTGTGGCTTCTCCTATACAACCTTCCAGATATGCATTTAGGAACACCACAATCTAAGGCTGCTTTACCACGGACATAAAGTCACGCTTCACAAAGTTCTGTGTGATCAGGCAAATGCTTGCAGTGTAATCAAGTACAAATTTAAACCATTTAAAAGGTCGAATATTACCATCCTGCTCTCATCTACTAACATGATATCTGGGGGTTGCCTGAGTCCATGTGAATGCAGCATAAATCCCACACACTGGCCCTTTAACTACTTGCAGCTGTCTGCTAATAAAATGACCAACTCCAAACTTGCCTGTGTTTCCTGTGGAACAGCATCTACACAGTGATAGCACCGTGTCATTTTGACAGCAGACAGACTAATTTGTGCCGAACATCTTAATTACCATCGCAAAAGTAATGAATCATTTTGTTTTTTTATTGTAAAAACCAAGTGTATTAACAGTGAATCATAAATCAATGAATTAATCAAGATTTTAAACAGATTTTTCAGACTTTACACACTGAAAACTAAATGCAGTAAATGAGATTGCTGTAGGTGTGCTGCCCTGCCCATCCTACTTAATCATTTACTGTCTTGCCTATGTAGCAAGTATTGATCCATTCCTCTGACAAATTGAGGAATGTCATGTGTAGCAACTAAACACCCTTTAACTGACAATGTTTTACATTTCTCAAGTTATTATTACACATTGTTACATTTTCACCAAGGAGCACAACTGCATCCATCAGTCGGTGGTTAGGGGCACTACATGATTTCATTTTTCAAACATTAGTGCAAAACAAAAACATGGATTAGCAAGAGACCCCACTTCAGGTCCTTCTGATGTCTCCCAGTGTACTGTAAGTGTAACCAGGGAATGGGTGTACAGGTAAATGTTTATTAAAGTATGACTCTAGGTGGAACCCATTAGCTTCTCTGCCAAAGAAACAAAAAATAAATTTAAATATCTTGTTGTTGGCAGTTGCACTAAAGCATCCTTGACGCTGCTGCTGAGTGTCCGTCTTGCATGTTTTTGTCCTCAGTTCAGCTGTCTGATGATAGAGTTAATGTCTGTACCACGGAATCCAGGGTTTCCCAGGTCCTTCAGGAGCCCGGCCTTGTCCCTAGCAGCGTGACGAGCCACCGACAGCTTGAAAGGCAACAGGAAGTTGTTGGCAGCTCGGAAGCCCTTACCAACTGAATAGATCTCGTGAATCAGGTCCTCCAAACAGATGATGCCATGTTTACCTGAGAGACAACAGTGAGGAGGATGGCATTAATAGAATGTGGAGGACAGGATGGTAGCAGTGTGTAAACAGCAGAAAGGGAGGAATAAAGTATGACAAAGAGGCTGTCAATTTACACGTTTAAGTGTTATTTAAAGCCACACAGAGTGGGACTTTTGAAGTTGATTGAAAAACTGAAATCATGTTTGAGTAACATGAACAGACAAAAAGCCCACTCGCGTTTACAACCTAACCCCTCTGTGATTAGTGAACATGGAGGCAAAACATCGTACATTCAGCTTTCAGTGTGCTTACTCAGTAAAGTGCAGGGTTTTGGGGGGTTTTGTTTTGGTGTTCAAAGTTTAAACAGACAAAAGAAAGAAAAAAACAATTTACATAAGGAGCTATTTTGGGAACCCCTACTTCTGGAAGTAAAAGTCCAATTCATTTTCCCCATAGAAAATGTTATGTGACTCACAGTGACGGACTTCTGTACAAAAGCGTAAAAACTACGTTAGATTCAAAATTGATTCATTCTGGATCAATTTCCCGTGTGGGCAAAAAATAGTTCTGCACAGGCCTGTGTCATTGTTAAAATGGACAAAATGAGAGAATATTTATACAGCATGCGTTTTCATTTAGATCTTTGTCAAAGAAAAAAATCTGCTAAGCCTGCCTGCGTGATGGACGTGCTGCTAGTTGGGAAGCAGTGGCTTGCATGCATATTGTACCGAATATATGGCATTCCTGGAATTTAAGCCCATGTTGCATAGAGAGATTTTTCACCATATTGCTGGTGTTTCCACCCTTACTTGAAATGATTATTCTAGAGACATTACAACTAGTGCTGCTGTCGTCTTTCTTCGTGAAATGAAGCCACGCTTGGGACTGTTTGTTCCTCTCTACCATGACTCCTCCTTGTTGTTTACAGCAGTGTAGACACATGAGTTTGACACCACAGTTAGGCAATGCGCAATTGTCAGAAAAACATGGTGGCATCAATAAAAATAACTCATCAGCTCGGAGGCATACAGTTCTAATGGATCGGACAATTTGGAACCGGTTCTCAACTAAACTCTCAACGCTAAAAATACATAACTTACATAACATCTGACACCTTAGGGTGTGTTTTGGCAAGAAAGATCCAATCACTCGGCTTGCCTGACATGATGATAGTGGTGAGCCCTGCTATCATTCTGTGGTGGCTAAATCAAACGGTGGAACAGACTTACCCATGTGCTGCTCAATGAAGGTGTTGTCTGTAAGAGGAACTCTCCTCCTGCCTACCCTGGTCTGTCCTCTCTTCAGAATCAGCTCACGAACAGACTTCAAGTTGGGAAATCTGTCGGGAACATTACCATGTATTTATAATATGCAAAAAACAAACAAACAAAAACAACTAAATTGACCCATGCTTGACTTTTTCCAAGTACAACAGTCCCCCGTTACTCACCCCCAGGCCACATAGGGCTCCACCATCTTCATCATGGCTACAGAGGTCTTGTTGATTCTGACGAAGGCCCCACTGAAGATCTTCCTCAGCCTCAACATCTGGATTACCTTCATCACTTTGGGACTGACGCCTTTGATCCTAACAGGAGAGGATCATTAATGTCAGGGTTTATCAAAACACAGAGATACACAACCACAATACACAAGTCTATCACATGTGGAAAAGTGAGAGTCAGTGAGACTGAGCATGTCATTGGAGGACTAAGATATTATTCATTCAGTTTAAAGGACGAGTGTGTAGGATTTAGTGGCATTTAGTGGTGAAGTTGCAGACTGCAACCAACTGAATATCACTTGCCTTCTAAGCGTCTAGGATAAAGCATGGTCACAAAAAACACAAAAGGCACTATCTAGAGCCAGTGTTTGGTTTGTCTGTTCAGGGCTCAGGTACTGAAATTACGATTATTATTTTACGGTAATAAAAACATACCTATGAATATTATACTTCCTCCTAAGTGTTACACACTGGACCTTTAAGTTAAAGACAAACTAAATTTAATTGAACGTTTAATAGACACATATTCCGAAAGGGAAGTCTGGTAAATCAATATCCAGAGGTAGTAAAACACCTTTGGAAAATAAAATAAAGAACTTGTTTAAATCCTTTGTGCATATCTTTGCACATTACACTGAGCCTCATGTTTGCTAACTACATATATTGTCTGAGACTGATCAGCTTAAAAGTCTCTTACCAAAGAAAAATTCCCCAAATTCTCAACATAAAGACTAAAGCCTGATTTATTCTATACTACAGCATCAAATCGAAATCATGGGTACAATGTAGGTAAGGCGTAGCCTCGTACCCCACACTGTAGCCTGACATGCACCTCCTATGACCCAGTCTGTCTGTCGTTTCACGGGCGGCCGGGGAAAAAGAAGGAAACAAGGAAAACAGAAGAGACAGCTTGAGGCAAGAGAGGAGGGAGAGTTTTGATTTTAGTTGCCATTGTTTAAGGTACACAAATAAACTCAACACAGTGGCATAGAAATACCACAGCCAACTAGTGTTTTTGGTGCACAACTAAAAATGTTCACATTGGCATGGTAGGCTTAATGTAGAGTCTACATGTACATAGAGTTTATAGTTAGTAATTCACTATTTTTTTTAACTGCATGTGTCACTAAAGTCGGCTAAGCAGATGGATGCAAACATGTAAAACCAATTTCAACTTTTGATGAATCTTTGTGTAGCATGCTTTTATGTGACCATGGCTATTTAGGGGAAAATTTTATTTAAAAAACCCTGTGAGCCACAGTACTCACTCTCTGATGCGGACTGCAAAGGCTAGCTTGTTCTTAGCAGGAGGCAGAGGGGCAGGTGGCCTGTGCTCAGCTCTCCGGATGCGAGTTTCATCACGATGCTTCTTGTGACTGTCTTTCAAGAGGTCTTCCAAACGCTTGAACTTTAATGTTTTGCCTTTTGATATCTGGAATAATGTAGAAATGCACACATAGTTATACAGCAGTACATTAAAATGGTTAGTATGTATATAGGCCATCTATGTGATATGTTGACTTTAGAACAGGTTGATATGGGAAACCACAAGCACCTTTCTCTTCTCAAGCAGCGCAAGCTTGGCCTGGGTGGCTTTAATGGCCTGGTATGCTTTCCTCTTCTTCAGTAGATACTCAGGAACTAACTTGATCACTTTCTTTGATCTGATAACAAGAACATACACAGACAAAGCTCAGACAAAGCTCACACAAGGCAGCACAAGAATGGAACACCATTCCAGCTCACATTAGGGAATTGGACTCACATCTGTCTTTTACATTCTACCTGAAAAAATGGTTCATACACAATCAGATGTGTGACCATTAAAACATTTAGGCTCAGTGATTATTTCACAATTAGTGTGTGTGTGTGTGTGAGAGAGAGAGAGAGAAGGGGGAGATAGAGAGAGAGAGTGTGTGTGTTTTAAGTCTTTGTCTTAACTAATCACTTGTGTGATCTTCAACTATTGTATATTAATTAGGGATGCACCGATCCACATTTTTTCACTTCCGATCCGATCCCGATACCTGAATTTGGATATCGGCTGATACCGATACTATTCTGTTACCAGAGCTCTGTTTGCTTTAATATAGTTATTATCATTATTGTTGACTTTATATGAGGCTGAAATAAACTCCTCTCAACAGGGAAGTATGTTATGTACGTATGTATGCATGTATGTCCCAGAAGGCAACTTGAGGTGAGTATAAGGTCAGAAAAGGAAGTCAGAAAAACAGGAAATCCTGTTAACAGGAAAAATCTCATCCTGAAAACAAATATGCAACTGTAAGGGTTTCAAATTGATTGTCATGTCAATATTTATTAAATTCCCCAAATGTCAAACATTTGAGTCTTTAAATATATGAAAAGTGCAATAAGTGTAAACATCTTACACACACACTATCAATAAAACAGTGTGCATCTGAACAGCACAGATCAAGTACACTGGTTCTTGTAGCATCAACAAATCAAGGTTTTAAAATGTCAATTATCTGAAATATAAGAAAAGTGCAATAACTGTAAACATCTTATGCGCGCGCACACACACACACACACACACACACACACACACACACACACACACACACTAATCCCTTTAGCTTTCACGTTGTCTGCCTGGAGTTTAACTTGTTTCTGGAATGACTCCAGAAGTGATTCCTGACAGCTCGCCTAAAAAATCCTCGTGCTGTTTCGTGTGGTGCTTTTTAAATGTTTGATTGCGTTCGTAGTGTTGTGCGACGCGAGGGCGATTCGGCGTCTCTGAATTACGGCTTTGCAAACATTGCATTTTGCTGTCTTGCTCTGCGGTGTTTTCAGTGTAAAGTATTTTCCCACAGTGGACATGTTGGCTAGCCACAATGCTGCTCAATGCTATCCTGCTAGCTGGCTGCAAACTGAGGAATGGATTTCCTGGGCGGGGGCGTGTCTCTTAACTCTGTGTCTCATTGAGCCGCGCCTTGTTCAGGAAATCCATTCCACAGTTTGCAGCCAGCTAGCAGACTGGCCGGCAGGAATCACCTGTGGAGTCATTTCAGCAGACAACGTTAAAGCGCAGACATGGCTCATGGATATCGGAAATCTCCGCAGGTTGGATCGGGAAATTCCGATATGTGAATTACGCTGGTATCGGTCCCAATACCGATACTGGATCGGATCGGCCCCATCCCTAATATTAATCCATTGTCTCCATGTGATAATTCTGTTTTCTATTTTAACATTGTACATTGTATTGTAGTTTACTTTTAGGTTACATCTGTCCAGGGACAACAGATGGAAAATAGCCTTGTGGCTAACTCTGGTGCATCTACAGGACTGTTTAATTCATGTACACTGTCCCTGTTAAAATAAACCAATAAATAAATAAATAAAATAAATAAAACACAGTCAGCGAGGAATTTGAGTAGAGCTGAATGAAAAAAAAAAATCATATTGGAATTATTCTGACAAATATTGCAATTAATGGGCCACGATTTGAGAAGGGAATGGTAACTTTTGCATTTCATTTTCACTGAATAAAACATTAAAATGATGATAATTTCTGCTGGGGTCTGTACCAAACAAGCTCGTTGAGGTATGGAGAATATAATTTGAAGGCTGTGGCATCTCTGTAGCACCAATTTTTTATATATAATGGCATGTTATGACACATTTAACCTTTATCAAATATTCTAGCTCCTGCATATAGCCATATTGCTATTCTGATATTATATCTATTAATTGTTCAGCCCTAATTTTTGGAAACACATATGAAACGACAAGACAATGGCTACTGTTTAGTCTTCTATCGTCTTAAACCCATAAAAGATGTTGGAAAAACAAGCTGTCATCTCTGTCCAGACAGAACGAATAGCTACATGCAGCTTCAGCTTTCCAGTTTGGTGGTTCAGTTGCTAACAGCAGCTAAAGTCAGTCAAAACATCCTCCAAACACACAGAACACTCTATATTATATGTCTGTTTATTTTCTGTTTCTATTACACATAATTGGTTAAAATGTTGTCAAAACTCTACGCTACCTATGTTGTAGCTCTATCTCGGTGATGTAAACTTTACCCCATGTGAAATGAAGCTCCGCTGAATCTGCATTTTCTAACCATCTACCCTCGAAATATAGATCTTGACTCAATTATATATTTTAAAGAATAGTTGCTTTTCTTGGAAACACTAGAAACCGCACATATACACGCAAAGACAGAACGGATGGACGTAGATAAAATGAACAACATATACTTACTCCGCTTCGGCCATGGTGAAATGCTGAAAACTCGGCCGTCGCTCGGAGATGATGTCACAGCCCCTCGGTGTTTTCGAGAGACGGAAAGCTGCCCTGGTGTACACCGCCGGGGTTTATTTTTATTTTTCATTTTTCTGTCCAATAACCTTACCGTATAGATCTTTTTAATTCATCTATTTACTATTTATCCACAGAACAAAGCCACACATACACCATAAAGAGAAAAATAATCATACCAAATATATATAATAATAATAATAATAATAATAATACATTTTATTTACAAGCGCTTTTCTAAATACTCAAAGACACTTAACATAAAAAAAACCATAAAAACAGCCAAACAACATCAAATAGTAAAACATTAAAAACACATCAGACTTAGCTAAACATTAAAAGCAATTTTAAAAAGGTGAGTTTTTGTCAGTGATTTGAATGTTGGAAGGTCGGTACAGTAACGGATGTGTTTGGGGAGAGAGTTCCAGAGGGAGGGGGCAGCTACAGAGAACGCTCTGTCGCCCCAGGTTCGGTGCTTGGTCCGGGGTGGAGGAGTCAGGAGGTTTGCTTCAGATGAGCGGAGGCTGCGGGATGGATTGTGGCGATGGAGCAGGTCAGTGAGGTAGGAAGGAGCCTGGTTATGGAGGGCTTTGTGTGTAAGGAGGAGGATTTTGAACTGAATGCGCTGTGGAACTGGGAGCCAGTGGAGGTTTTGGAGGATGGGAGTGATGTGATCACGGGTGCGGGTGTGGGTGAGCATACGTGCAGCGGAGTTGTGGATGTACTGTAGCTTATTTAGAGTTTTGGATGGTGTGCCATAGAGGATGCTGTTGCAGTAGTCGATTCTGGAGGTGATGAAGGCGTGGATGAGGGTTTCGGCAGCAGAGAAGGAGAGTGATGGGCGAAGACGGGCAATGTTCTTGAGATGAAAGAAGGCAGTTCTCGTGATTTGGTTTATGTGATGTTCAAAGGAGAGGTTATTGTCAAAGATGACTCCGAGGTTGCGACTGTGGGGGGATGGAGACAGGGTGGAGTTGTCAATGGTGAGGTGGAAACTGTCTGTGGTTTTGGTGAGGGATTTGGGGCCGATAATGATAAGGTCTGATTTGTCACAGTTGAGTTTGAGAAAGTTGGAATGCATCCAGGATTTTATGTCGGTGAGGCAGTTGGAGAGAGTGAAGTGAGTGGCCGGGGTGATGGATTTGGTGGAGATATAAAGCTGGATGTCATCGGCATAACAGTGGAAGTGGAGACCATGGTGGCGAATGATGTTGCCAATGGGGAGCAGGTAGAGTATGAAGAGGAGAGGACCAAGCACCGAACCCTGGGGGACGCCTTGGGACAGGGGAGCAGTGGAGGAGGTGCAGTTGTTGATATGGATGAATTGTTGTCGGTCTGTGAGGTAAGATTTGAGCCAGGAAAGTGCAGTGCCAGTGATGCTGAGAGAGGACTCAAGACGGGAGAGGAGAATGGTATGGTTGATGGTGTCAAAGGCTGCAGTGAGGTCCAGGAGGATAAGGATGGTGAGGTGGCCGGAGTCAGCGGAGAGGAGGATGTCGTTGGTGACTTTCAGGAGGGCTGTTTCGGTGCTGTGTTGGGAGCGGAAACCGGATTGAAATGGTTCGAACAGTTCATTTGAGCAGAGGTGGGTTTTGAGTTGTGTGGCGACAATACGTTCCAGTATTTTGGACAGAAAAGGAAGATTGGAGATGGGCCGAAAGTTAGACATGATGTCAGGGTTGAGTCCAGGTTTTTTGAGGATGGGGGTGACAGCAGCCAATTTGAGTGAGCGGGGGACTGAGCCGGACTTGAGAGAGGAGTTGATGATTTCTGTGATGAGTGTGGAGATGGCTGGTAAAGAGTCCTTGATGAGGTGAGATGGGATAGGATCCAGGACACATGTAGTGGTTTTCATGCCTGTCATGATTTTGGGCAGCTCCCCTGGTGACACGGGGCAGAACTGAGACAGAGGCTGAGAGGCGAAGGGGGGAGGAGCAGATGAAGGAGTGGGATTGCAGGCTGTGGGGGCAGGAGCGGAGGACAGATTGTTATAAATGTTGTCGATTTTTGATTGAAAGAATGAAAGAAAGGAGTTGCATTTGTCAGTGGTGAATGACTTGGAGGTATTGTCGCTGGGCTTGAGGAGTTTATTTACTATAGAAAACAGAGCCTTGGGGTTGGTGGAGCCAGCGTGAATGAGGTGAGAGTAGTAGGTGGACCGGGTGGTGTTGAGGGCATCCTTGTACTGCAGGAGGTAGTCTGTAAAAGTTTGGAGATGAACAGTTAAACCGGTTTTCTTGTAAAGTCTTTCAAGTTGTCGTTTGCGTGATTTCATTTTGTGCAGTTCAGGAGTGTACCAGGGGGCAGAGTGGGTGAATGAGACGGTTTTGGTTTTAATGGGGGCCAGCTGATGGAGACAGGAGGAGAGTGTTTCGTTGTAGAACTTGGTGAGGTCAGAGGGGTTGTCAGTCAGCGGTGGGGGGGAGGAAGATATTTTACTTGCAAGAGAGGTAGTAAGAGCTGAAGGGGAGATGGATTTGAGGTTTCTGAAGGATATTGTCCGTTTATCCTTAATGGTGGGAATGGGGATGTCAATGTCCGTGATGATTGCCAGGTGGTCGGAGATGTTGAGGTTGAAGCTGGAGAGGTGATGTAAGGTGAGACCAGTGGAGCAGACCAGATCCAGGATGTGACCACGGCTGTGGGTGGGAAAGTTGACATGTTGGGTGAAGTTGAAGCAGTGTAGTAGTTCCAGAAATTCAGTGGCAGATTTGCAGTCATTGTCAATGTGGATGTTGAAATCTCCCAGAAGAAGAACGGAAGGTGAGATGGCAGATAACTGAGTTAGAAAGTCAGAGAAGTCGGTGAGAAAGGAGGGGTTTGGTTTGGGGGGGCGGTAGATGATGGCAGTGACCAGAGGAGTGGGACCAGAGAGTTTGAAAGTGAGGTGTTCAAAGGAGTGAGCAGCAGGGATGGAGATGGTGGATGTTTTGATGTCCTTCCTGTAGATTGCTGCTACACCACCTCCCCGCCCCTCAGGTCGGGGTTTGTCAATGTAAGTGTATCCGGTGGGTGTGGTCTGGTTGAGCAAAAAGTAGTCCAGAGGTTTGTGCCAGGTTTCAGTGATACAGAGGAAATCCAGGTTATTGTCAGTTATGAATTCATTCAGAATGAGACTTTTATTGTTAAGTGAGCGGGTGTTGAGCAAAGCCAGTTTCAGGTGACGTTGCTTCGTGAAGGGTTGAGAGGACCGAGGAAGGGGGCGGAGATTAGATAGGTGCACATGTCGTTTGTTGTGATGACGTAATGAGGAAGTTGCGGTGCGTGAGCAGGACCAGATGGATGGGATAGAGTTAGGAGTTGAACCGTTGTAAATGAACATACGACCAGAGCCTCTGTGTGGAGGACGGCGAAGTAGTCCAGTTTCACGGAGGATGTCGGTGCAGTCCGGGCGCTGATGGTTGTTGAGTGAATGGAGGACGGAGGTGGAGTACAGCGGCGGCATGATCCAGGTGTGGAGCGCTAGCACGGAGCTAGTACTAGCTTGTGACCATGAGCCAGGTGTCTGTGGACGGAGCCGTATCGTGTACTCCAGAAGAATCCACAGGGTGATCTACAGCATAACCGCAGCAGGCGATCTGTGGTCCGATGATGAGGCGATGAGGAGAGTGGCCCCCGGCCTGCTAGCCTAGAGGACCCGGTGATAAGAGGAGGTCGTCAGCTCGATGCGGTGGTGGCCAGCGGAGGAAGCCAGCGGAAGCCCGACAGAACCGACCACACCGGGACGGAAAGATCACGGGAGGACGGGATAATCCGATGAGGAAGAGAGGGGCCGCCGGCCTGCTAGCCAGGGGGTCCAGGTAGGGAGAGGAGGTTGTCAGCCTGATGCGGTGGTGGCCAGCGGAGGAAGCCAAAGCCAAAGCCCAGTAAAGCCGACCACACCGGGATGGAAAGATCCTGGCAGGACGGGCAGGTGGGCTCGAGCTGGCAGAGAAGATGGCAGGGAAAGACCGCAGGAATGGCCACCCCGGTGGCAGGGCGATGAGGCTATGCCGAAGTCCCGGGGATCCTGTAGCTAGCAGGAGCTAGCAGGACGGTGGGAGGACTTCACAGGTACGAAGCAGATAGATAGCAGTGAATCTGTTTGCTCTCCAATTTCAGAGGACTGCCAAACCAGACTATCTGGTGTGGTGAGAGACGTAGGTCAAGAGACAAAAACTTTATCATGGACTATTGTCGGAGACGGAGCGGCAGCCAAGGTGCGCCAGCGAATCACATGATCCATGTCAAATAAAAAAAAATAGTAGTGTACCAACTCACCACTGATATAATGAAAACCACCAAAGTTGAACAGAATGCATCTGTAATATTTCCCTTCACCCAGGTATAATCCAATGCATTTTTGTGGTGTTAGTTCACATTTATGGACATACCACCCTAAGCATGCCTGATTTCCTTTGATCAGGGAAGCAAAGCAGGGTTGAATTATGGGGCGTTCTTTTTGTCTTGTAATGGCGACTTGCAGCTCGAGAGTGACGTCACATCCGTGTTGGAAAACGAATAACCGCGGGTTTTGGCGTTCTGTTTGGCTATTGCTTGGTTGCAATAGGCAGTTTGGATGTTTCGCAACATTTATAGTGATTATCTCGTTAACGGTGCACCCACCGCAGATTTCACATGTTCCTTACATATTACACAATCAGATTTCACAGTTTGATATCTGAATATTCCGTTCTGATTAACGTTAACGTTAATGTGGCTACTACTCTGCTTTCTTCTCAAGACTTTGCATTGTTGTCATAGCAACATGGAGCGTCTCTAGCACAAGCTACAAAATAACTAATTAGGTGGTATTTAACACATAATAAGACTGTAGCGACATGCCTATAGGTAACAGTATTCAGTGCTATGTGTACGACTTCTTCATTTGGTTACAACAAAGACAAAAGTGCTTAAAATAGTAGAAAACCACAATATTTACTTAGTGTGATGCTCAGAGTAGCCATCTTGGTAACTGAACTCGAGGTCCTCTGGGGCGTTCTGTTTGCAACTTCCGGTTCGTAACTCAGGAAACCGATTCGCAG